TCTGATCTATATTGCGTGAGCGAGAGCCCGCGCGGCGAGCGAGCCCGCTGCCGCTCTTCACCCGCTGACGCTTGCGCTTGGCACTTCCTCGCCTTCTGGATCGTCGTACGAGTATGTCATGTCGCCATCCTGGTCGGTGAAGCGACCGATCGCCTTGCAGATGGCGTACGCGCTCTTGCCAGGCTGCTCACAAAAGGCAAGCCGCGCCGCAGTGAACTCGGACTCGGAGCCTCTGCCCGCCTTTTTAGACACGGTTTCGATTCGACTCAGCTCCTGCCCAATCTTCACCCGCTTGTCCCTAGCCGTCGAGGGCGTTGCTCTCAGAGCGCCCTCAAGCTCTTTCCGCTTGCACCACGTCTTCTCCTTGTCAAATGCGATAGTCAGGCTGCCATCGCAGTAGGCTTGGCGCAGCTCGTCCTGCTCGCGGTCTCGCCGGGTCATCGCGCAGGTGGGCGTCTCCATGTTGTGACCGAGCGAGCAGTACTCGGCGTAGGCGGCCTGGTGCACCGCGATGCTGAACGGGATGAGGCGTATCTGCCTGCGAGAGACGGGCTACGCAGGGGTGAGAGAGGGTCAGGGTCGCGTCACTGTCCAGGGCCGGTGCCGGCCACTTGAGCAGTTCCTTGCGCGCGGTGGTGTTTGTGAGGCCACGGAGCTTCCTCGCCACGTCCTGCCGCTCGCACATCCGGCGCTGATCGGTGGACAGGTCGGGCTTGACGCAAAGCCATTCGAAGACGGCGTCGTCGACCCACATGCCGCCGTGATCCGTGCAAATTGGGAGCGCCTTGGCGTCTGCGGTGGAGCAGAACTGCTTCTTCATCGCGGTGTAGGTCTTGGACGCCTCGGACTTCGAGATGGCGTGCAGGGAGACGAGGATAGGCTTCCTCTCCTTTGCCGACGTGGCCGCATTGTACTGATCGATCAGGGCGCGGCGGCGGCAGACGGCCTGCGCCTGGTGGCTCTCGGTGCACCAAAAGGAGTACATCCGGGCGACCGCGTCCTCCGCCGACGCGGCGCGGGTCGCCGAGAGCGCACGCGGAACGCACGCGAGCAGCAGGCAAAGCGCACGCCGAGTCATCTTTGTCGACACGTCGGATAAGTAACCGTCGATGCTGTGGTGGCGGTGTGTTTTAGGTATGGTGTGTAGTCCTCCCAACCTCGAATGCTTTCTTTCTTTCTTTTTCTGCGCGCGCGGTGTTTAGTTTCAATTCGCTTCGGAGACAAAACAAAAAAGAAACTCGAAAACTTGATAAGTCTTTTCTCCCCCCAGCTGAGGGGGTGGTTGCGGAGTTGCACCGTCCGTTTCGCAAGCGGCTAGCGATTATTTCAACACGAAACACCGCCGTCTGTGTGGCGCGAGTGGAGTGTGGCGCGAGTGGCGCTGCGGCGCGGACATCGCGTGGACCGTGGTGTAACTCTTGATCATATCCTCATGCGGCGCCTCGATGACGTCGGTCGCCCCGAGCCGGAACCAGTCCCACACCCGCACGCGCAGCACGACCCTCTTGAAGCGGCCGCGCTCGCGCTCAAGGTGTAGATACAGGTATCCTTTCAGACGCACCATGCCGTTCCCGCGCCCGTGCTTTTTCTTTGAGCTAAGCCTTCGAGAGAGAGAGATTTTAGGAAACCAACAAGAAATCACGACTCTCACAGTGATTTGGGCTCGACAGCTTGTTACCATCGATGTTATGAAACAACAAACGCAAGGCGGGCACACGCACATCGCTCTCGGGCCCACAGACATCCCGCACACCCGCCGCCCCCGCGCGCGCCCCACCCCGGCCGGGAGAGAGGGGAGTGACAGTTTGGGACGGCGACAGACGAGATACCTCGCACTCCATGTGCGAGAACGCAGAGAGAAAATGAAAGCCGTCCGGCCCCCAAGTCCGGCTCACGCGCCCCGAGCTGACCATCTACCGCACTGGACACTTCCGCCCCCTCGCTCCCAACCCATCCGCCTCGCCGACCGCAGAACCGCGCGATCTCGGGCGATCTCGGGCCGCGCCGCGCGATCTCGGGCGATCTCGCGCTATCTCGGGCGATCTCGGGGCCGCGCCGCGCTATCTCGGGCGATCTCGGAGCGTCGCTCGCGCGGCGGCACAACCTGCACAAAAAAGGAAGGGCCCGGTTGGAGCCACGGGGCTCACGTGCTCGCTCGGTGCGCCGCCTCACTCTGCGCCATTTTTGAGGCGTTGGCGAGGGCCGGTGAGGCGGCGCCCCGCGCGGCGCGTTCATCGCCCTCCACGCCGACCCCTGCGCGCACCGCTCATCTTGGCCCTCCTGGGGTTACTCTCGCGCTCGCGCAGGACCCGGGGGACTCCCTTCCCCCCACCTCCGACGGGTTAGGTCGGTTCTGCGCCCCTTGGCGCCTGTGCATGTCCCGCGTGCCCGCCCGCCAAGGCTGGTGCCAAGGCCAATTCAACTGCCAAGGCTGGTGCCAGGGCCAACTCAACTGCCTGGCTGGTGCCAAGGCTCAAAGGCTCTCCTCTCTCTCTCTCCTCCCTCTCCACTCTCTCAACTTTCTCCCTCTCTCTCCCCTGAGACTCTCTCTGCTCGCTCCGCCCTCTCTCTCCCTCCCTCCCTCCCTCCCTCTCGCCCCCCCCCCCCCCTCTCTTCTCTCCTCTCCCCCCCCTCCTATCTCCTCTCTCCTCCTCTCTCCTCTCCTCTCCTCTCCTCTTCTCATCTCCTCCCCTCTCCTCCTCTCCTCTCTCCCCCCCTCTCTCCCTCAGCAGCTCCCTTTTTCTTTTGACGGGGAGATCGCGCTGTTGCATCTTTCAAACAACTTTGGCTCAGGGACGATATCGTCCGTCCCTGAGGCGACTCTACTTTGTTCAGAGTTTCACGGAGGGGCGAGCTCGTAGGCGTATAGAGATGCAAAGGTGTTGGCGCACCTGCGCGGGGGGGCGTGGCGACGAGACGCGCGACAGGAGCTGATAATAACGGCCGCCTCGTCGTCGAGCTCGGCGGAGACGATGGTCGCCTTGCGTTTGAACCCCTCGATTGGCGTCGCACTCGTCGAGCGTAACCAGTCCGCCCTCGGATGACAAACAAAAGTATTGCTAAAAATCTCTCTCTCGGATGACTTGTTGAGCGCACGGGGAGCGCGCGATCTCAGGTCAGCTCGGGGCGCGAGAGGCCTCCAAATGTAAAATCTTTTGCAATGCAGGCGGATCATCTCCTCCTTTGCAACGCATATGGCGCCGCGGACCGGTCCGTACCGGACCCGCCCCTGATCGTGTTCTCTTCTTCGACCTGAGCCAAGTCCAGGATGCTCAAGAGCCCCCACCCGCCCACCCACCCCCTCCCCCCCCGTGTCGATGTACGATGGTCGTGCGTGGCATGACCACCAGAAAAATAAAGTTAATCTGGGACGAGCTGCGCCACCCCTCGTGGCAACTCTTGACACGTCCGCCACCGGCGCCGCCCGTGGAGAGTGGCGGAGCAGCGCGGGTGGAGGCAAGGGCGGTGGCGGTGAGGGTGGCGGCGGCGTGGGTGGTGGTGGCGTGGGTGGTGGTGGCGGAGGAGCGCTAGTGGCGAGGGCGGAGGAGAGGCTCTGGGGGGAGGCGAGGGCCCTAGGGGGTACCCATGCGGGGGGGAGATGGGGTCCCATGGCCCGCCGCAGGCGCCGATTTTTTTGAGATTTTTTTCTTTTTTTGTGCGATTTTTCACTTGTTTTTTTCAGGGAATTCGGCGTACTTGCGGCCATGCTATCACGCCTTGCGACATCCTTTCGGCGCTGCTGACCGTGCCATGCTGCTCAACTGACCGCCTGCATAGCTCGCGGCCTTAGTCTTCGGCATTCAGTGACGACCTGATCGTACGGCCAGTAGGAAGGTGTCCTTCCAGCGCGTGCACGCTTCTGACGCAATGCGCGTCACAAACTGCCTCGGATTGGCTGCTGGCACTCTCGAGGCTATGCCTACACAGCCTCGCGCGCATGGGCAGTCAAGAGGGACCATGCACCTTCTCAGGACAGCGCCGGTGCCTCTCTCTTGGACCGGCAAACGTGGTGGTCTCGTGTCACCGATGTGGGACCAGTGCGGCATCGCGCCATCGACAGCTCTGAACTGCGCCTCACCACTGACCGGGAAGGCCGCCAAGTGGGTCAGCACCGGTCGCACATTGTGGCAGCAGTCAGCAGCGCATGTCTGATAGCTAGAGCAGCAGCGTCAGGGTCGCAGGGTCGGATCGTGTCAAGCCTCTCGCCCGGCCGGCCGTGTGCAGACGTCGGCCTGTCTGCTGTCTGGAGTGATCTGTCGGCGGTCAGTACGACCGATCAGGTCGGAAGTTTCTTATGGTTGGAGGGTCTATCTGTATGTACTCCTCGAGATCTCTCCAAATCTGCCCTCTGATTAACCTAGCTTAATCGGGAAGTCGGTGCTAGCTGAGACTAGCGGAGCCGGAGCCCCGTTTCCGCACTGCGGCGCGGCGCACGGTGCCTCCGGGGGGCCCCGCGCCGGCCCAGAGAGGAGAGGGTGGCGGCGGCGATGGCGGCAGTGGGGTGGGCGGCGGTGGCGAGGGTGGCGGCGGCGAGGGAGGTGGAGGAGAGGGCGGGTACGGGAACGGCGCTGGTGGATGCGAGGGTGGTAGGGGAGAGGGCAGCGGTCGAGGGGGTGGCGAAGGCAAGTGTGGTGGCGGCGAGGGCAGCAGAGGTTCGGATGGTAGCGGCGACGGCGGTGGCGAGCTGGGTGGTGGTGGCGAGGCTAGCGGTGGAGAGGGAGGCGGTGGACAGTGCTCGGCGGAGACAGAGGAGGATTGCAGTACTGAACAAATAGGAGGATTGCAAAACCTAAAAGAAACACTCAAACCTTGATGAGGGAGGTCATTACGACTGCACGACGAGGCCGCCGCATCCGAGCCTGATGGCGGTCGAGCCGGCCGAGCTGGCCTCGGCACGGCCGTGTCGCGCTGCGTCAGACCCCGGGTGTTGCCAACACCGGTCGGTACTGCAGTCGATCTCCGCCCAGCCACCGCGGCCATCGCCAGTCCTTTCCTTTGAGATGTTGCCGTCTGACTGCATCGCGAGCCTCCTGCGCCACCTTCCGACTCCGGATCTGGCCCGCACCGGTCTAGCGTGCAGACAGCATCACGAGGCCGTGGCCTCGGTTTTGCGCCTCCGCATCAAAGAGTCAGGCCTCTACCTCCCGCCGGTGCTGCCGCAGAGCCCGACCGCGACGATGAATCTGCTTCTGAGGTTGGAGCAAGGCCGCGCGGACGCGCAGGGCCGTGCGGCGGCGCACGCGGCGGCACGCGCCGCCGCTCTCGAAACCGGCAGGCAGGAGCGCCTCGCTGCGCTGCACCGGCTCGAGACTGCAATCCTCGCGAGGCTCAAGCAGTGGTGCCGCGCAATCAGCCCTCATCATGCCTCACCCCGAGCGGCGCACCTGAGTCACACCCCTCCCAATCGCAGGCGCGCGTCGGGTCCCGCGCCTCCCGGCGTTGCGTTCCGAATCACCGATGGCTTCGGCATCATCCAGCGTCTGCGCGACGAGCGGGAAGACGACGAGCGGCGGGCGTCGCTTGCCGCCGCCGCGACAATGCGCTCGAGGCCGCGCCTCCCGTACGCGAGACGCGAGAGCCGTCGTCAGACTCGATCCCCCGCGCCTCGAGCCCCCCACACCCTTCGCCTCATCGTGACCTGCACTTGCGGCTGATGACTCACGCCACTCCCTGCTCGCGCACTGCAGGGTCGCGGCTCTCGAAGTTGAGCATGCGGCGGTCGTCGAGGCGTGCCACGGGCGCATCATGGACCTCGCGCTCGTTCAGCAGGCGGTCGGGCGAAACGTCCGCCGCGTCCGCGAGGGGGTGGCGGATGCAGTTGTGACCGAGGACGCCCTCAGCGACGCCCTGCTCACAAAGGGGGGAGAGCTCATGCAGATCTCCCGTGCGCTGCTCGTGCTCGAGTCCGAGTCGACGGCGCTCGAGCGGGATGCGACGCGGCTGCTGCGCCAGGCGCGCAACCTCTCGCGCTTCCTGCATCGCAAGGAGTAAGCTCAGCTGATTGTCGCGGGATCCGTTCGCCGCCAGAATGCGTCGCATGAGCTTCCATGGCGGGGCCGAGCCAGCATGGTGAGGAGGTTTTCGCATGGGGTGAGGTGCAGGTGGTTTGGGTTCCTCCAAGTGCTCCTCTAGTCCGAGTCGGGGGTCTGTGCGCATGTCGGGCGGTGAATGTTTGCAACGAAAAATACTAAGACGATGCAGCTGTGTGCGTGTACCTTAGAGGTACGAACGCACCTTCGTGCTACGAAGAGCTCTGTGACCACCTGATCCTGTGGGCCGGCCCGCCGCCGGGCGGCGCGTGCTCACGGGACACGGCTCAGGGTCCCCAGAAAAAAAAGTTGGTCCGGTTGCAAAAACACTCTAGTGTACCCCTCTCCAAACAGGCATGCCGTTGAGATGCCAACCGACCGCGATGCGCGTGACTGAGCTGTCTGGGCGGGCCACGCGCCGGTCGCTCGCAAACGCGCGCGGCGTCGCGCAACCCGAGCGCACGCGGGGGCTTGCCGACTGCGCACGCGGCGATTTCGACGTGGCGAGCGAGGCGGCACGCGCTCCCGACAGCGCGGGGGGTGCGCTTCCTCGCCGCACCTGCTCGCGCGGGCTCGGCATCGCCCGCATGCACGTCGCATCCGCCGCGTTGCCCCCGCCCGCCTCTTGCGTCTCCCCACCATCCGCTGCGTGCGAAAGCATGGCTCTTCTCCGCGCCTCGCGGCGCCGATCGAGATCCTTGGCTGCCGCGCGCTGGTCGCTAGCCTCACGGATCGAGTCAAAACTCGCGGCACCGATGGTCCGGACCCACTTTTTGTGCCGAATCGTCGCCCCGGCTGCCAGGTGATGCAGTTGGTCGCCCCGGGCCCACCGCTCGTTGCCATTCCGCGCGGCCGTTGTCGTCGTGGAGTCGTTCCGCACGAGGTACACGGCCTCGGCCGCGTCTCGCAGTGGGAGCGGGGGGACCTTTGGATGCGCCAGCTCTATTCCGACAACGCGTACTTCGGTGGCTCCGCCCCTCTCGCCTGAGCCGTTGAGGACGGCCCGGTCTCCGCTGCGGAACCTGGCCACTTTGTGAATCACCTTGGGGTCCGTGAGGTTGGGCTTCCAGCGCGAGCTCTCGAGGTCCGGGATTCCACCCGGCTTGTCATTCCAGGGCGGCTGTAGCGGCAAGTACAGGTCCGCGACGTTCATCGCGGCCCGATCGCCAAAGTCTTTGTCGTCTGCACGCAACTCCAGCACCCGCAGGACCTTTCGGTCCCCCTCCATCGTCCGCAGCGCCCGCGACACGTCGGACTCGCGTTCGGCTGCGAGGTACCTCCTCTCGTCTCTCGCCTCGTTTCGAGCAAATGCATCGCGCCGCGTCTCCTCGAGCAGAGCAAGAGCCTCTCTCCGCTCGGCCGCATGGCGCGTCCGCTGCTCGCGAATCTCCTCCTCCATCGCCAGCGTCTCGCGCAGCAGCTGCCGATGGAGGTTGCGCCTGTGAACCCGCCTCCGCACACGCCGCTGGGCGCGTAGCATGCACAGGGGGACGCAATCTGGGGCTGGTGCCCCGGCCTCGGCCGGCATCACACACATGACCATCTCGTCAGATGTAACGGCCGCTGCATTGGCGCCTCGCTCTGCTGGACAGTTCTTTGTTTCTTTTCCCGCTTCACCGGGGAGAGACGCAATCCGGGGCCGATGTCTGTGTCGAAATCTGTAAACCGCCTGTTTTGTTGTCCAACGCGGCCAAAGGATATCCACCTCGAGAACCTCGAGAGTTGTCCCTGGGCTCACGCAGATTTCTTGGCTGTTCCCACCAACCGCCAAGATGGACGACTCCGACAAGCGGCGGCGACCGCACCCCTACGGCTTCCCCTTCCCACCTTACCACGTGCAGGAGGCTCTCATGGCCGACATCTACAAGTGCCTCGATGACGGCGGCGTCGGCATGTTTGAGTCTCCGACCGGCACCGGCAAGTCGCTCTCTTTGATCTGCTCGACGCTGCAGTGGCTGCTCGACCAGGAGGCCAAGGACGCGGCGGGAGAGGCGGGAGCGGGTGCGAGCCCCGCTCCAACGAGCAGCACCGGCGGCGATCCGTCTTGGGTCGACGAGCAGGTCGCGGCGACGGCGCAGCAGGAGCGCGCACACCTTCACTCGGAGCTCGTCGAGCGGCGGCGGCTGCGCAAGGCGCGGGTCGCCGCGTACGCCGCGGCCAGCTCGGGGGCGGCGGCGAGCCGACCCGGGCGGAAGCGGCTGCCCGGCGAGCCCTCGGGCAACAGCGGCGCTGGTCCGTCCGACCCGGACGGCGGCGAAAGCGAGTTTGTCGTCGACTGGAGCGGCGGCAAGGGCGGCGACGCAGAGACGATTGACCCGTCGCTCCTCGCCGACGGGACGGAGGAGGAGGACGAGTGCCGCGCGCGCTGCCGGCAGGTGCTGTACTCGTCGCGCACGCACTCACAGCTCGCGCAGGTCATTGGCGAGGTGAAGAAGACGAGCCTGGCGGGGAAAGTCAGCGTGGTGACGATCGGCGCGCGCAAGACGCTCTGCATCAACGAGTCGCTGGGCGGCTTGGACGGGGCGCGACTCAACGATGCGTGCCGCCAGCTGCGCGAGAAGGACAAGGAACAGCGCGGCGTCGAGCAGCGCGAGCGCTCCAAGGCGGCGGCGGAGAGCGCGAGGCGGCGGCGCGAGGGCATCCTAACCGAGGAGGCGGGCGCGGAGGCGGGGCGGGGAGGCTGCCCGCACCTGCGCGGTGGTGCGGCGCGACAGACGCGGCTGGTCGACCAGATCCTGAGCTCCCCGCTCGAGATTGAGGAGTGTGCCAGCCTCGGGCGGGCCGAGAACAGCTGCCCCTACTACGCGGCACGCGCGGCGCTCGACGAGGCGCAGCTCGTGTGTCTGCCGTACCCGTCGCTGCTCAACTCGGCGACGAGGCAGGCGCTCGGCGTCCGGCTCGGCGGCTCGGTGGTCCTGATCGACGAGGCGCACAACCTCATCGACACCATCAACGAGATGCACTCGGTCACGCTCTCTGCTCGCCACCTCTCCGAGTGCTCCGCCCAGCTGGCGCAGTACGAGGAGCGCTACTCCGGCCGCCTCAAGCCGTCCAACCGGACGATGGTGCGCAGGCTCCTCTTCGTGGTCCGCGCGCTGCGAAAGGCGCTCACGCCGCCGCGCACTGCGAACGGCGCCGCCGCCGCCGCCGCGGCAGTGGAGCGGATGATCCACGTCAATGCCCTGCTGAGCGTGTACGACCTCGACAACATCAACCTTCTGGAGCTCAAGCACTTTTGTGAGAAGTCGTTGATTGCAAACAAGCTGCAGGGCTTCGCCGAGAAGAGCCAGCGCGCGGCGGGCCCGGCGGGGCTCGCCGCGGGCGCGGGCGCGCATGCGCGTGACGCGCCGCGTGTCACTCTGCACCCCGTCATCGCTCTGCTCGAGGGCCTCGCCCACTCCGACAAGGACGCGAGGGTGCTGCTGCACGTCGAGCCGCTGCAGCCCCTCCGCCCGCCCGCCGCCTCCCGCCCCGACTCGTGGCTGCGCGTGCTCCACCTCAATCCCGCAACCTACTTCGCATCTGTCCTCTCTGAGGCGCGCCGCTGCGCCGCGCCGCGCGCTGCCCCATCCGCCTCCCCGGAGCCTTGCCGGCGCCCTCCTCAGGCGCACGCCGTCGTGCTGTGCGGCGGGACGATGCAGCCGTTCGAGGACCTGCGCCAGCAGCTCTTCACCAACCTGCCCCCCGGCCGGCTCCGCACCGCCGCCTACGGCCACATTGTGCCGCCCGAGCGGGTGGCGCCAGTCATCTTCTCTCGCGGCCCGCGCGGATCGCCGTTGTCGTTCTCGTTTGGCAGCCGCGGCGCACCCGCGCTGATGGACGAGCTCGGGGAGCTGCTGCTCGCGCTCGCTGCCACCGTGCCCGACGGGCTCGTCGTCTTCGTGCCCTCATTCCAGTACGAGGCGCAGCGATGGGCCGCGTGCCCCTGCCACGTCCTCACGCGTCCCACCGACAATGCCCGGCAGGTACGAGGCGCAGCTCGTCGCGCGCTGGGAGGCGACGGGCCTCTGGGCGAAGCTCGACGCGCTCAAGCGCACCTTCCGCGAGCCCCGTGCGACGGCCGACCTCGACAAGGTGTTGAGCGAGTACGCCGCCACCGTCGCGCAGCGCGGCGGCGGCGGCGGCGGCGGCGGCGGCGGCGGCGGCGGCGGCGGCGGCGCGCTGCTCCTGTCGGTGGTGGGCGGCAAGATGTCCGAGGGGATCAACTTCTCGGACCGGCTCGGCCGCTGCGTCGTGATGGTCGGCTTGCCGAACGCGAACCCGTACGAGCTCACGCTGCAGGAGAAGATGGGTCACCTCGACGCCGTGCAGGGAGTGGGCGCCGGCCGGGCCTACTACGCGAACCTGTGCATGAAAGCGGTCAACCAGTCCATCGGCCGCGCTATTCGCCACCGGGCTGATTTTGCCGCCATCGTGCTTGCCGATGCGAGATTCGTCAAGCCGACCGTCCGCTCCAAGCTGCCCGCGTGGATCGAGCGACGTGTCGAGGCGCCGGACTCGTTCGAGGGGTCGATGGCGGCGGTGCGCGGATTCTTTGCGCGCTTTCCCGACCCGTGAAGGCAAGGCGTCGAGAGCGGCCGTGTGCGCCGCCCAGACTCGACGCAAGCGGCATGCTGAATAAACTACGTACTGTGTTAATTGTGTAGACTGTAGTTTTGTACCCCCGCTGTCCAGCCGCTGTCCACACATGTACATGTACATATGCTGTATGTTTCTCTACTGTGTTTCTCGACTGAGTTTTTCGACTCTGGTATGTTGAATTTTCTCGTGGCTCGTGTGTCGATGGCTGGCAACCGCATTTTCGGGGGTCTCTCGCGCATGGTCAATCCTTTTACGGTAGTCCACGACTCGTCGTCGTCACTGGGCCTTGCACTTTGAATGCCGTGGGGCTCCTGTCATTAGACGTGGAGACGCGAGGGTCGCCCCCCCTTGCCCCACCACCTCGTGTGTGTGGAGAAGTTTACCTTACCTTACCTTACCTTAGCGTTAAAGTAGCCGGGCCCCGCCCTTTCTGGATTCTGCCTTTGTGTCCGAGCCGCTATCTCGTCACAGTCATCACGGCGTCCTAGCTTCAACACTCGCCGCAGCAGGTGAGCTTCTTCCCCTGCCTTTCTCCAGGCGGAGTCCTCCTTAGCGAGGCGGACCGCACGGTCGACGATCGCTTCCAGCCGCGTCTGCTGCTCTGTGAGTTGTCGCCTCGCCGTCGCACAGCTTGCGCCAAGGAGGGAGCAACAGCCGATGCCGTGACGCGCGACGCTTGCATCTGTATGGTGAGTCTCGAGCGCATCTGCGAGGGATCCAATGATTTGGGACGGACCTTCGCATGCGGCGTCGCGGCGGGACTGGCACTTGCATAGCCACAACCTCAGGTCAGAGAGCAGCACCCTGCAGACGGGCGCCGCCGGAGAGCATCCAATCTGCAACACTTGGGCGGCGACGTGGCGAGCCTCGTCAGTGTCGCTCGTGGTGGCATTGGCCCGCGCAGCGCACTGATGCTCGAGGGTAAGCATGCCCCAGTGAGCTGCCTCGAGCCGCAGGCGCCGGAGAGCAGCGGGTGCGAGCTCCTCAATCGCTGCCTCCCCGTCGCCAAGCCAAGCCAAGAGGCTGGAGATGGTTGCGGCGTCGCGATTAAGTACGAGCTCGAGCTGGCCCGGGGGTGGGCCGTCCCCAAAAAAGGCAGCCGCCGTGGCGTCACCGCTCTTGGTCGCGTCGTCGACGAGCTTTTTTACGAGCATGGCGAGGCCGGAATCAGACTCACGTTGCATGAGCACCTGCGCGGTGGTGACAAAGGTGGCCCCGCCTGCAATGAGATGCAGCCGTGTCTGCTGTCCTGCTTCGGCTTCGACGGCCCTCGTACGCGACGCTCTCCACGCCTCCTGCTCTCGCCGAAGTTCGTTTGCAGCTCTCAAGACCTCAAATTCCTTTGCAGACAAATCGGCCCGCGTCTCCTCCACCTCACGATCGAATTGAGTGCGGCGAGCCAGCAGCGCTTCTGAGTCCGCCTCGAGCACAGTCACTGCGCGTGCCGCCGCCTCGGCCAGCGCAGACACCTCCGTCGTCATCGCGCCCAAACGTTTCACTTCGATCACACCACTCCGACGCGCTCGACTCTCGTGTCTAGTCTTCGGGGACGTGCCCCCCCGGGAAAATTCGTATATATCGGGAAAGTGAGCGACGACTGGAGCAAATTGCACACTTCCCCCGCAGATCGCCCTCAGTGGGGAGACTAGTTTTGGTTCGCGCCGGCGCGCTCGTTGCTCCTCCGTCTCTTTTCCATCTTCCTTAATTGCAGTGGTTTGTTGAAGATTGACGAGGTTTCGCGGATTGCCCACGCATCGGACGCACGTGTTTATGGAGTTTGCCTCCGTCTGCACATCGCTCGCCGCCGCAGTTCCATCCGCCCGCCTCGATTGCTCCTCCGTGTACCGAAATGCAGTCGTCGCCCTCTTCCCGATCTGTCCTTCAAGCCGTCCTAGCCACGCTGGTCGTGGCACTCACAAACCTTCTGCTCATGTTCGCAAACTGGCTGCTGCGCTGTTGTCTTCAGCTACGACCGCCTACGGCAAAGCGTACCACCCGCACACATGCCTTGCATTGTGAATACCACTGGGCTCTGTTGGTGATGTATGGTTCGGGGCAGAGTCCAACTTGCCCCACACTATCGTGTGTGACACACTGGCACCTTGCCTTCCCTCCGCAGGTCGACCCGGCGTGGCCGCGGCCGTCATCCTATCCCAGGACTGTCCCCGCGGTCCTCACGCCCGAGGAGACGGAACTTCTTGCCAAGCTGTACTGGACCCTTAGAGCCCGCAACTTCTACGGCCGGGGTCGCGTCCCGTACTACTCGCTGCTCGAGCACATGCGCCGCTTTGAAGAGCCGAAGCTCGCGGGGATCGTCGAAAAGCTCCAGGCGATAGCAACCAAGATTTGCGGCGGTAGAGTCGTGATGCACAACGACTTTTGGTCGATGCGCGCCCACGGATCACTCAGCCCGTTCGAGGCGCGACACCGCGACGACGACTTTTGGCTCACGGGCTACGGGGGCGGTTACGGAGGCGTCAACCTGTGGGTGATGCTGCAGCAGGTGGATACCCCAAGACACTTTTGAGACCCGCCCCCCGCCTCACGCGGCGCCCTCACATCTCTCAGTCGCGCGCGCCGTGCTCGTTTGCGGTGTACACGCGCGAGAAGAACGAGGCGGTGTACGCCGAGACGCCCGATTGCGCTGCCGTCTTCTTGGGAGAACGGGAGCGGGGAGCGCATCGCGACACGGAGGGGGGCTGGGCAGGGTTCACCCCTGGTGCATGAATTCTTTTCTCAGGTGTACCTGTGTTCGTGCCAGTGCGCGCCAGTCCCGTGCCCAGTGTCGTGCGAGGGAGTTTTGTTGTAAGATTCTTTTCTCAGAGGTGACCTTCGCGGAGCACACCACCAGAGGCCTCCGCACAAGGGTGAACGCGGCGCGTTCGGTGGCGGCCGAACACACGCTCGGAGCATACAGAGCCCGCTCGCACCATCCTGCGCCACTGTGAGCGTGGCGCAATATGATCGCCAGCAGCGTGATTGTTCTCGGCCTCGTGCGCACGCCTCTCCAGAGCTTCCTGCCGGTGCTCGAGGCGCCTCCTGCCCGCCAGCCTCGCGTCCTCCTTCCTCACCGCATGAGCCTCGCGTTGCCGTCTTGCGCGGCTTCTGGCTTCTGGACGACGGCGGCGGCTGGCGGCTGCACCGGGCTTCTCGGCCAGCTCGGCTTTCAAGCACTCTTCGAGCGCTCATCGGACCCGGTGCTGAATCGGGCGGCTGGCAACACGGCGCACTCGCTTGTCGCTGCAGCGTACTGCCTCTTTGCGACCGTGTTTGGCGTCGCCGGCTGGTGCTTCAGCACCTTTGGCTGCACTTCGACCGCGGCGGGGCGAGTCTTGGCTCCGCTTGGCTGCGTGCGCTGGCTCGGCGCCTTCGCCTTCGGGATCATCGCTCTCTGGGACATACCAACGTGCTTTGCCGTGAAGGAGCTGAGAAAGCCGTCCTTCCTGCTGCACCATTTTGCGATGGCGGCCGTTGGCGGCCTGGGCGCCTACTACTGCCCGACCTACTATGGCCTCTTCTTCCTTGGAGTCGTCGAGGCCTCCTCGGTCCCGCTCTCCGTCTACGAGGGCCTTGAGCGTGCGAGCGAGATCGCCGGAGAGGGCACCTCAGCGGCGGAAGAGGAGCGGTGCGCTCGCCTGAAGCGGTGGCGCGACGCGGCGCAGGCAGTCGCCACGGCCGCCTTCCTCTTCACTCGGCTGTACCTCTTCACGCGTGTCACCTTTTTTGAGTTTTGGCCTGACGCGCTGGCCGTCCTGCCGACGATGGCGGCCGGCGGCGCCCGGAACACGGCGCCGCGTCGCGGGCCGGCGCGGGCGCGTAGATCCGATCACGTCTCACTCCGTCTGCTGAGGATAGGTCCGCTTCTTGCTGGGAGCCTCCGCCGCCTTTGTGGCGCTTCAGTTCTTCTGGTTCGGCCAGATCGTGCAGCAGGTGTTTGTCGACAAGTGGCTGGCTCGGAAAGAGGCGGCGTGAACTTGCCTGGTACTTGCGAGCTAGTGCACTCGTTCCGGTCTCTCTGATGGATTTCACGCGTATCTTCATTCTTCTGCCATCGGCGCGTTCCTCGGGGGCGTCGTACCGTATACCGGTATACGTCAGGAGGGAAAAGGGGAAACCGAGAGTGTTTAGAGAGTATCCCTTACCTTACCGCAGGACCTCCCATCGGAACCACATCCCGCGAGAAGAGCCAGCAAGAAATGACTTTAATGCAGCTTGCCACGCAGGTCTATTTTGTGAGACTGAAAGACTCTCTGAGCCGAGCTCCGAGCTGTGAGACACGAGAGGGTACTAACTGCGGCTTGCCGCAGCAACAACGCGCGCACAAAAAAGCACGACGCACGAGCAGCCCCGAGGCTTGTTATTTCTCCCTCCTGCCACAAGCAAGCATAAGAGACCGCGTCATGTCGTGTAGGAGTACTACTAACCGTGTCGTGCAGCTCATTGCTCCCACCGCTGCGTGATCCACTCGAGAGCGCGATGATGCACGGTCAGGGTGATTGCGGCACCAGGGATGCCGCGTCCGAAGGCCACCTGCCACCCGCGGTAGAGGCTCGCCACGCCGTCAATGGAGTGGAGGGCAGCCAACCAGCTGCGCCGCGGAGACGTCTCCAGGGGTTGGCTCTGCCGAGTTCATAAGCAGCGCGGTCAGAGCGTTGCTCGTTTCGCGACCAAATGGAGGGTGAGCGAGCAGGTGTGGTGAGGTGATCAGTTTCATGGTGGCGCACTCACTTGGATGCGACTCTTGATGCAGTCGAGCGGCAGCGCGACACACCAGAATAGCACGCCGGCGCAGGAGCCCGCGAGCATTAGCTCCCACGTGCGAAGCTGGTGTCGACCCCGAGTTTGTTGAAGCGCCTGCGTACATCATGCTGGTCACACCTGCAGAGGGCGAGGTGTGGCGTGCATATTGGACCTGAGTCATGTGGAAGAAGCCAGAAAAGTAGTTGGCCATGCCAAGCGAGTCGCGTGCAAGCGTGACTGGCAGCGCCGCATAAAACCTCATGACGACAAAAGTTGGTCGGCGGCCAGAGACAGCCCAGCAGTGGCGCAGCACGTCGACCGCAGAGTAGTACCGGCGTGGTCCGCCCACGCCCTGCATCATCAACTGGTTTCGCAGCAGCTCGACCGGAGTGACCACAAACGAGTTGACAGCACCACTCGTGGCACCACAGGCCGCAACGGTCGCCGTGGATTTGGATACGCCACGATCTGCGAGGCGGCGGTGCGTGAATGCGTTCACAGAGAATAGCACGGACTTGTAGACGCCCTGGGCGAGCAAGGGTGGCAGAATACCCTTGTAGAAGCCGGCAACAGACGTTTCCACTCGCATGAGTGTCTTCATGTTCAGACTCTGCTTGCGGAGCGACGGGTCAGCCTGGACGCGAGTACGAACTGTATCAAAAGGGTGGCAGACAATCTGATTAGCCACGCCCGCCACCGAGCCGGCGGCAACCTCGGACCATCCACTCAGAGCTCGACCCATTGCAGACCTCTTTCTCTCAATGGACGGCCGTTTTGAGAGTCTTTGTGTCGCTGCCTGGGTCCGTCTTTTGCTCACTCGCTCTCTCGCTCGCTCTCTCGCTCGCGTTCTCTCTCTCTCTCTCTGACTCTCTCTCTCTCTCTCTCTCTCTCTCTCTCTCTCTCTCTCTCTCTCTCTCTCTCTCTCTCTCTCTCTCTCTCTCTCTCTCTCTCTCTCGCTCGCTCGTAGAAAGAAAGAAAGAAAACGTACAACACAAAAGAGGAATGGGAGGACGGCACGCCGCCACCACACAGGGATTTTGTCCGAGGAGGCCACCGGCCAAAAGCGCATGTCTTGAAGGTCCGATACTGGAAGCCCATATAGGCACCTTACATAAAATAAATAAATAAATAAAACGGGCACGCCAAACGAGGGGTGGGAGAAGGACAGGGTGAGGGTCCCCACCTGCGCGAGCAGGATCTTGTAAGGACGATCAGGGACACAGGGGAACGGGAGCGGGGAGCGCATCGCGACACGGAGGGGGGCTGGGCAGGGTTCACCCACACACGACAGGGTCCCAGGGATTCCTCTCTCGTATAGGACAGGTTGCACCCGGCGGCACGGGGGCAGGCGCGGGCCTCCTACTGGTTGCGCTCTCCTAGTTCTCCTGCTCCTGACAAGGGACAGCGACGGGCTCGCAGCACGGTGGACTCCCTATTCCACTGGCGATCTCTCTCGACTAGCGACCTTCCTCCGGCTTCTCACCAGCAGTCTCTCACTACCACGAGGCACCTTACATAAATAAATAAATAGAGCAGACATCTCCAGGAGAGATGGGCGACGCACGAACACAGAGGGACAGTGCGGCACCTTACAGAAAGAAAGAAAGAAAACAGACACGCCAAACGAGGGATGGGACGAGGACAGGGTCCCCACCTGCACGAGCAGGATTTTACCTTACAGATTTCGCTCGCGCCGGCCTGCGAATTCTTGCCAACACGGTTACCAGCCGCAACGCCGCCGCAGCCTCGTCGCGCCGCCTCGTCCACCGGCAGGCCCCGGCGCATTTTCCGTTCTTGCACGACATGCCGAGCGACGAGTCCTCCGACGAGCCGCAGCTCACGCCGCAGGAGGCGGAGCTGCTTCGCCACCTCGAGGACCTGCAGGCAAACAACCCGGCCGAGTATGAGATGCTCGTGTCGCAGCTGGGCGGCGGCGGCGGCGGCGGCGGCGCTCCACCTGGCGGCCAGAAGGTTGTGCCCGAGCCCGGCTTCGTGGCCAAGACGCACAGCTACACGCGGCGCGGGACCAAGGTCTTCATCAATGTCTGCCAGTCTGTCCATGTCGACCCGCCCTCCTCTGCCGCGACCGCCGCCACCTCGGGCGACGAGCTGCCGATGCGCATCCCGCTCTCGCTCGGGCCACCTCGCGAGGACCTCGACCGCGCGGGCGGTGCGTGCACCGTGTACGACGTCGTCTTCCACCCGGACACGGTCTCGACCGCGCTCGCCGACGCCGACTTCCGCAGCCTGATGCTGCAGCTCGCGATGCACCAGATCAAGGAGAAGCACGGGGACGACCTCTCCGACGCAGTCAGCTTCCCGCGCATCAAGGGCAACTACAAGGGCCTCGCGCCACTCCCCCAGTTCATGCGCGCTCGCAAGGAGCCAGCGGCGGAGCCCGGCGCGGCTGCAGAGCCCGGCGCCGCGCCCGCGCCAGCCGCCGCCGACGCCGCCCCGGCCGCGCGGCGGCCGCTGATCGAGGAGGTCGCGCCGGCGGCGGGAGAGGAGGCCCTGCCGGCGCCAGCGTACGCTGTCGAGCCGTGCGTGTGGCGCGACGGGCTTGTGGTGCGCGAGGGCGGCGGCGCCGAGGAGGGCGTAGGGCCGGGCGGCGGCGTCGAGTGCCTGAGCGTGAAGCTGCACCTGCCAGAGGTGGAGGAGGCGAGCGAGGTGGAGGTGGAGCTCTCTTGCGAGGAGCTGCTCCTCACGGCGGCGGGCAAGTACCGCTGCGCCCTCCTCTTGCCGCGGCCCGTCGAGCTGGCGCCGCTGCTCTGCCGGTTCGAGACGCGGCGCCGCATCATGAGCGTCGCGCTGCGGTGTGTCGGCGGCGGCGCGGCGCTCGACGGGGAGGCGGGCGGCGGCGCCGCGTCCGAGGCGGCGCGGAGGGAGCGCGAGGCGCGGCAGCGGGCGAGGCGGAGGCTGGCGCGCTCAAAGCAGGAGCAGGCTAGCCGGCGGATGGGCGAGGAGGGGGCGGGCGGGACCGAGGGCGAGGCGGCAGCCGCGGCGCCCGCGGAGGCGCCCAGCGAGCCGGCGGCGCCACCGCTGTCTGAGGAGGCGGCAGAGGCGGAGCCCGCAGCGGCGGCGGAAGTGGGCCAGCGACAGGCGCCGTTGGTGCTGAGCAACAGCATCGCATTTGAGCTGCAGGAGTGATTAAGACGTCAAGACATCTGGTGGGCACGGGTCGGGCTGTTGCGGCCCGTGTGTGCTGCTTCTTGCTGGGTGGTGAGGTGACTCGCAGCCGGCGTGAGCACTTGGAGCACTTGACAGATCGGGAAAAAAATCGCCGCGAGACCGACGATCGCTGTACAATGCGTCGCCTCCTCTGCCTGCTCGCTCTTTCTTCTTGGGGCGCCGAGGCTCTGACTGCTCGTCTCGAGCCAGCCAGGGCTGGGCGCGCTGCTGGCTCCGCGTGCAGAGCGTGCGCGTTGAATGTGGCGCGCATGCAGGTGGAGGCGCCGATAAAGACGCCGGACATACAGCTCGCGCCGACGGATCCGAAGGGTGCTTCCGTCGCGGCGGCGAGAGCCTTTCGCCACTGCCCTCGTTTGACGTCGCCCCGTTGAGACCGCAGGTGACGAAAAGTCGGACAAGGGAAAGAAGTTCAAGCTGCTGCTTTTTAACGACACGATGAACAAGCGCGAGTACGTGGCGCGTATCCTGCAGCAGTCGGTGCCTGGCCTGACGGCCGCAGACGCGTACTTGATCATGCAAAAAGCCCACAAGAGCGGGATGGCGGTGGTGGGAGTCTGGGCACAGATTCATTCACGCGGGCCGGCACGCTATGTGTGACATGCCCAGCCCACCTCTCCCGCACGCGCCGCCGTAGGTCTTTGAGCTGGCCGAGGCGTACTGTGACCTCCTCAAAGCGGGCGGCCTCATCGCCTCTGTCACCGAGGATGAGTGAACACGCGCGCAGGCATAGGTCTAGGTTCGGCTCGCGATGGCCAGAGGCTTCGCCAGGCGGCGGCCCCCCGGGAAAGGGCAGGAAGGCGTGCCAGGCTCGCTCGCAGCCACCCCACTTTTACGTGACACGACCTTCGGGGTCATCCGGTGGAGTACCACACCACGGTCCACGGAGCAGAGTGCGCACAATGCTCGATGGCCACGATAGTCAGGTGGCGGTAAGTAGCTTGCGGAGGTAGTCCGAGTGGAGGCGGCGAGGCGCTCGGCGTGTCGTTGTTGTCAACTCTTCAAACGCGCATAAATCATTCCCTTTTCCAGTGCCGGTTGCGAATTCTTTTTCTGCCACCGAATGGAGAAGCGCAAGCTTGCCGAGGCTGAGGCGGCGCTGTCAGACGCCGCCAAATGCGAGAGGTCGGGCTGGCTCAAGTCGCGAGATCTCGACGGCGCGGCCAGCGCCTATGAGCGTGCTGCAACGCTTTTCCGGGTGGCAAGGGCGTATCCGCAGGCCATCGAGGCGTACATGAAGGCCGCCGATGCGCAGCAGGCGCTCGAGAGCGCGGCTGCCGCAGCGCGGCTGCTGGAGAGCGCGGCCGTGCTCGCCAAGGACAACCTCAAGGCTGAGGCCAACGCGGCTGCCCTGTACGAGAGGGCGAGTGAGCTGCACCTCGGCGTGCTGTCGCTCGACCGGGCTGCCGCCGCACTCTGCAAGGCGGCACGCACAATAGAGGGGTCCGACACGCCGCGAGCGTGCGCGCTCATGCTCCGCGCCTGCAGTCTCTTTGATGACGGCGAGGAGGAGGCGCAGCTGCGGCACTCTGCCGACACCTTTGGCGCCGCGGTCGCGCTGCTGCTGCGGGCAGGGCGCCGGTCCGAGACCGCCGCGCTGCTGCGGCGGCAGGTGCTCGTCTACGCGCGCCTTCGCCGCACGCACGACGTTGCACGCTCAGAGCTCTCCGCGGTGATCATCAATCTCGCTGCCGGCGCCGCCCCGCCCCGCCGCCCCGCCAGCCCCTCGACACAAGACACGTGCCCACCGCCGTGCAGCCCGACCGCGGGCCTCGGTGCGGCAGGCGAGTACGAGCAGGCGAGCATCGGCTGCACCAAGGCGGAGGCGAGGCCGGACGGGTTTGCTGGCACCGATGAGGCACTCTCGCCCTCTGTCCGTCTAGCCCTCGAGCTCTGCCGCTGAACTGCCCTCGCCCGCCCTGCCCGTCAGGCGGACCTAGCCCGAAGGCTCCTCGCAGCCTTCGCAGCGCAGGACGCAGACGGGCTCGCCGCAGCCGTGTCGGACGGCACGCTCGCCGCCGTCGACAACACCGTCGCCTTGCTCGCTCGCGACCTGACCCTCGCCTCGGCACGCGTGCCTGCCGCCTACCTCGCCCCGCCGGCCAGGCGACCCGCCGCCGCAGGCTCCGGCGCGGCGTCGGGAGGCGGCTGCCTCGCCAGCTCGGCGGCCGCCCACGCGAGCGAGCAGCCGGTCGGCACGGGAGACTTTGGCGAGATGGCCCCGGAGGACGAGCTCGAGGACGACGACTTGACGTGACGGCGTGCGAGGTGCGAGACGGCGCCCCGCGCCACACGGGACACAGGAGACAGGACACGCCGGCAGCCCGGAGGCGCCGAGCGCGGCACCGCCCTGCCGGCGTTGGCTCAGCCCCCGTGCCCCGAGCCCCGTGCGGCTGCCCACCTGGAATCCTACCGCGGTGTATTACCCCGAAGCTGGACGCGTGCACCGCTGCACGTGGACGGTGGCGAGAGGGTGTGTGGAAGTGCTTTCGTTTCGAGTTTCGTTGGCGGCCCGCAAGTACATCTCGTATGCATGTGTAATACTGCCCTAGACTACACGACCATGTCGCAGGGTGCAGTTGGAATATGGTGGAGCGCGCCGGGCTCATGCCTCACATCGATGCGCAGCGGGAGCCCCTCGCGCCTCGGCGCTCGGGCGGTGTGTGCGGGGGGACCGCGCTGCGTGGCTGCGGTGCCACCCCCATCTACCCCCCAAGCAACACGCGCCACCTCAGAAGGAGAAGGCGCGCTTGGCGGTGACCTTCGGTGCGCCGCCCAGCGGGAAGGTGGCTGCGATGGTCGCGTCGATGGTCGCCGAGTCTTCGTACTCCACCTCGCCAGTGCCGTCCCTGGGCGACACCTTTGCCGAGAGCGTGCGCCCCTCCGTCAGCTGCGTGTCGTACTCGAGCTCGTACGTCAGGGAGTGGTCGAGCCCGCCCTTGCCGCCGCCCTTGGAGGATAGCAGGCCGACCGCCCGCAGCCCCGAGCCGAGCATCGTCGAGAGCCGCAGCTTCGACTCGTTGTCGCCGAGCGTGTGGGACAGCTCGAGGTCGCACTCACGCTCGTTGACCGAGAGGGTGCGCGTGCCCGTCACCCGCGTCACGCGAGAGGAGAGGCCGTCGACCTCGGCCTCGACCTGTGGGGTGGGGTGGGGGTGGGGTGGGGGTGGGTGGGGTGGGTGGGTGGGGTGGGGTGAGGGTGGGTGGGGTGGCGTGGCGTGGCGACCTCGATCGTGGTGCCGTCTTCGGTCGAGGTCTCGAGGGTCGCCTCGAGCGGTCCGCCGAAGTTCGACGCGAGCTCGTATTTGATCTTGTCCACGGCTCCGCTCAGCGAGGCGCTCTTGAGGAACTTGTCGTTCTCGGCGCGGTCGTACTCGGCGGTGACCGTCGCGGCGTTACCGAGCAGTTTGAAGGCCTGTGACCACTTGCCCTGCGCGGCGGGATGGGGCGGTGGCGACGGCGGCGGTGCGGTGGGGTTGAACGCCGCTCCGCGCTCTCCCACACCTTGATGTTGTCGAGAGAGGGCGTTTTCGATCCCAGATCGCCCGAGATCAGCTCGACCGACCCCGACTGAGGACGAGGCGCTGGCGGCGCGGCGCGGCCGGCAAGGATAGGGGCGACGGAGAGCGAGAGCATGAAGCCTCGTGTGTGAGTGACAGGGTTTGGGGCACACAAAATGAACGACACGCGCGGAAGAAAACCAGGGCAAAAGCGGCTTTCTGCGTCTTCTTTCTTTCACCCGCCGGGGCCGCGCAACCGACTCAGAATCGACGCCGGGTCCTCCGCGTCCACGTCGGAGAGGAAGACGCGCCTCTCGGCCTCGCCGACATTGTCGCGGGCGGCCGTGCCGAGCGGCGGCGCCGCCGCGTGCAGGTAGGAGAGGAACGGGTCGCTCGTCTCCACGGTGACGCTCCCCGCCGCCAGAGGGAGCTTTAGCAGCCAGGCGTGCAGCATCATGCGAGGCGCCGCCGTGTCGCCCGTGTAGGCCACGTCGCCGACGATGCCTATAGGGAGCCACTCCGGCCGAGCCTGAGGCGCGGACGGGGAGGAGGGCGCGCCGCCGCCGCAACGCCGGCGCGCCGTGGCCCAGGTGGAGGCAGTGGACGCGCAGCTGGTGCCTCCGGCCCGTGAGCGGCCGCAGCAGCAGCTTGCTCGCCGGGCGGCCGTCGTCGAGGTAGCCGCGGCCGACGAGCGCGCACTCGGTCCGCGCTGGCCCGCAGTGCTTCCCCGGCGCGCCATCGACGGCCATGCGGAAGCCGCGCTCGTCGCTCTCGTCGAGGCCGATGGCGCGCTCGCAGACGGCCTGCACCCACTGCACGTGTCCGTGCACGAGCGCGAGATAGCACTTGCGGGCGGTCCGGCCTGCGAAGCAGGCGGCGGCCATCTTGGCGGCGCGCTTGCTCAGCGCGACACACAGGACGCCGCTGGTCGCATAGTCAAGCTGGTGCGCGAGCCGGAAGCCAAAGGCGGTCGTCGGGTCGACGTGCTCCGGGTGACATGCACCGAGCTGGGTCTGCAGCGTGACGGGCTCGGCCGGGTGATCGATGTGCAGATCAGGGAGCTTGAACGCGAACAGATAGTCGGCGTGCCGCAGCACATGCAGGTCAGACAGCAGCCACCTGTTTCGCTTTCGGCAAGTGGCGGTGCCGGCGGCATCGGCGTCCGCCTGACTGCGTCGCAGTCGCGCACACACGAGCCTGCGTAGGCGATGCCAGTATTTGGTGAGCACGAAAGCAAGAGCAAGCGACGAACTCAGCATCAGCGTCCGCGTCGATCGACACACCACGCGTAGCGCCGCTGCCGAGCTGTTGCCGATTGGCATTGGCGTGTGTAGCCGGTCAGCAGTGTCGTCGGCTCGGCGCCGGTGCGGGAGACGGGCCCCAGCTGTAATCGCAGCGAGGCGGCGCGAAATCCGCCCAACGCGAATGTGCTGGGTTCGGGCACCGCCCGGGTAGGGGGGTAGCTCAGGGGCCAGCCACCACTGGGACGTCCGTTACACGCCCAAATCAGGGTTAGGGGGGTAGGAGGTAAGGAAACCCCTACCCTACCCCCCAAACACCTCGAACCCTGAGCTCGCAGCGCCCCGCCTCGCGCGTTGTTTTCCTTTCTTATTTCTTCGCCACTTCTCGACGTTTTCCCTCTTTCCGCGTTCCCTTTGTTCCGAAATGTTTCCCTGCCGCTCAATCCACAAAACAAAATCTCTCCTCAATCCATCCGCAAAAAGAAAGAAGAAATACGGCGCACGCTTCCCCCAAATTGCGAGAGAGAGATTCAACATTGTGGATTCGGCGACGATGTTTACTGCGAAGAATTTTACAACAAAGCTCGTTGGAGGACGTGCCAAAAGTGCAGCCTCGGCCGTCCCCAACCAAACAAAGCCGCCATGGCCCTGGCTATCGCACCCGCCATCCACCTCGGCGCCCAGTGCGGCCCCAAGATCGAGCTCGCCTCCGTCAAGTTCGGCCCCTACCCGGGCTACGGGGGCCCCTTCTCGTCGGTCAATGGCAAAGTCTCCCTTTACTCGGACGGCGATGGCGTGCAGGCTGCCACCCACGCCGTCGCCCGCCCAGCTGCCCGTTGCAACTGTCGCTAATCTCACAGCCCCACGCCGCCCTACCCACAGACCTTCGTCTACGACCTGTCGGGCCTCGACACGGGCTGCACCGGCACCGACCCGCTCGAACTCTCCGGCAACGCGTGCGGCATCCACATCCACTCTGGCTTCACCTGCTCCAGCGCCTCCGAGGTCGGGGGGCACTATTACGTGTCCCCCGCGGCCGACCCGTGGTCCGACGGCGGCATGGGCGTGGACTACGTCGCGTTCTACAGCACGACAACCGGAACTGCCTCGGGCAACTTCGACGCCGACACGGGCGCGACTACAAGCGACCTGCTGGGCCGGGCCTTTGTCGTCCACGACGCGAACGGCGGGCGCATCGCGTGCGCGCTGATGGAGCCCGTGGTGGACCCGCTGTGCGTGACCAACTTCGCAACCTACCCCGGCTACTACGGCGCCTTCCCCGACGCGACGGGTGTCATCACGATGGCTACTGTGGACAAGACCACGCAGTACTTCGACTATACGCTCAAGGGCCTCGACCTCGGCACACCGCGCGCAGCCCGCGACCACGCCCGCGACCGCGCCCGCGACCGCGACTGCGACCGCGTCCAGCCCATTCTCCGTCCACGCCACGCACAGGCTGCGCTGGCGGGTACAACGCCTCGTACGGCAACTCGTGTGGCCTTCACATCCACTCGGGCTCCTCGTGCGAGGCCGCCAGCGAGGTTGGCGGTCACTACGCCACGAACGGCTTCGCCGACCCGTGGACGGAGAAGAGCCTCTCCTACGTCTCCTCCTCCAACGGCAACGCGGAGGGGAAGCTTTCCGCCGTCACTGGCGGCACCTCGCTCGATGTGCTCGGCAAGGCCTTTGTCGTGCACGGGTATGACGGCGGCCGCATCGCGTGCGGCACGCTCGAGTACTGCGACCCCTGTGGGCCGCCTCCACCGCCGGCAAACGTGTGCAAGCCGTGGTGCAAGAACAACCCCGAAAAGCACTGCCCCAAAACCCAGCTTTGCGGCGGCTGCTACTTTTGCTACCACTAGCTGCCTGGGTGGGGGGCAACCAAGGAACGCCTCAGCGGAACAGCCTTTCCCGCAGCCTGCTCCTGAGCCTCTCCTTTCCCACCCGCTTGGCACCTTTTTCCGCATCGGGTTTTTTCCCTGACCCTGTGTGGTGGGGCGACGGCTTTTCCCTGAGTGTGCCGGGGGCCGCGCCTTGTCTGTCGTGTGAAAGCGCCATAGGACGTATTTTCTTCTCAACAACAGGTCTGTTAATCGTGCTATGCGACGGCCGGTTTGTAAAATTCTTCTTGCATGCTTTGCGTCTCGAGAATTCTTCTTTTGTGAGAGGGGCGTCTCGTAAAATACTAAGATTCTTCTTTTGGTAGCGAGGCCTGGATTCGGTACTTCAGCTTCATCGTACACCCTTCTCTAGAGTGACACCCAGCGAGGGGCAGACCTCTCGATGATGGACGAGCCATGGCCTCGAGGCCATGGCGCGAGTTCACACCATCCCAATATCAAACGCGCCATTAGCGCGCCAGCACGACTTATACGTCAATTACGCCACCAACGATAACACTTTCGATGTTTGTGAGTGTTCCGACGGGCGTTGATCGAATCCCTCGTGCGACAAATCACGACTCCCACCGAGCCGCGCCGCGCTGCGCGCGCGCGCGGCTCACTCGCTACCACCGACACCCGCGTGCGTGTCTCACTATTCTCGAGGGGGTATCAAGGTATGCTCTAGGCCTCTGTGGGGACCCATCTCGGCTGGGTATCAAGGTATCATCGGCGGCCGCGCAGCGAAGCGACAATTCACACCTCGCACCGAGGACCCAGCCCTCCCGCATGGTGCGCCCCGGTATCATTCAAACTCTGTGCGCTTCCGCCGTACCCGCCTCCCTCCTGCGCGACGCTCATTCGAGCGCGTTGTCTGTCTCGGCGCGCGCGCAGCGCGCGAAGAGGTGTGAAGAGGGGGGTCGTGTCCGGTGTGAAGGGTAGCTCACGAGGGTATCAGTGTTTCGTCCGGCGAGGATCACTTTTTTCAGCAGAGCCTTAGCGCGGATTTATCATTTAACCATGGTATTTCACCCCCCGCCTTCACCCTTTGGGGGACCCGCTGTGTGCGGGGCGGGCCCCTGCACGGAGCCATGTCCCAGCGCCCACCACCGCCGCAGCGGCAGCCCGGAGACTGGACCTGCCCGGGCTGCGGCGCCAACGTCTTCAAGAGCAAGGCTGAATGCTTCAAGTGCAAGGCGCCGCGTCCGGAGAGGCCGGCTGACGGCGATGGCGGCGCCAGCCGTGCGCCGCCGCCGAAGCGGCGCGGCGATTGGACGTGCCCGCAGTGCGCTGCCAACGTCTTCGCCTCAAACAGCGAGTGCTTTCGCTGCCAGACGCCGCGCCCGGTCGGCGGCGGTGGCGGGACGGCGTTCCCTCCGCCAAACGAGGCTGGTGAGGCTGGATGCGGCGACGGCGGCGGCGGCGGCGGCGAGGGCGGCGGCGGGCCTCCGCAGCGGCGCCGCGGCGACTGGCAGTGTCCGAACTGCCAGGCGAACGTCTTTGCGTCGCGCAGCGAGTGCTACCGCTGCCACGCGCCCAAGCCGGACGAGAGCGGCGCGGAGCTCGGCGAGTCGCAGCCCGCAGAGGAGCGGTCGGTGCTCAAGGCGAGGTGGCTGCTGGAGGAGGCGGCGCGGCTCGAGGAGCAGGCGCGGCGCGAGGAGGGCGGGTGGGAGGACGAGGCGGACGACGCGCCCGGCCGCGCCTTTGTGCCGCAAGAGGCTGCGTACCGCTGGCACAAGCGCGACGACGCGTCAACGCGGCTCGAGCCGGCGGCGAAGCGGCGGATGATGGTGGAGGCGGCGGGGGAGCGGACGGCGGCGGGCGGGCTCGTCGCGCCGCGCATCAACGAGGCGCACAGGCGGGAGTGGGGGGGCGCGAGCAAAGGGTGGAGGGTGTGGGGGAGGGTGGCTCTGCACGGCTCTGCTGCGGGCGTCCGAGGGGGCGGCGAGGAGGGGCGGAATGCCCGGGTGTGAAGTGTGTGGTGTGAAGGTTAGGTGTGAGAGTGAGGTGTGAGGTGCGAGGCGTGAGGCGTGAGGCGTGAGGTGTGAGCCCCCGCGACCCCCCCGCAGGTGCTCGAGGTGTCGACGGCGGCGGCGCGGCGTCCGCAGGCGCAGCTCCCGCCCGGCACTCGTCTCGTGGCCGGGACTGCGTCGGCGATGACGAACCCGCGCCCGTCTACGCAACTCGTCTGCCTGCACGACCTCTCGCAGCTCCTCGCCGCCGCCGGACCCTCCGCTGCGGCGGCGGCGCCCTCAGCCCCCTCCGGCGCCCAGGCCGCCTCTGCGCCCGCCCCAGAGCCCGACCCCGCCGCGGCGCGCCGCTCGCTCTTCGGCCTCGTCGAGGCGCGGCGGCGGCGGGGAGGGGAGAGACTCGCCGTCGGCTTCCCCTCGAGTCGCGCCGGAATGGCCCGAGACTAGGCGCATGCCGGCGGAGAGGAGTGCGCGGCGTGGGTGGCGTCCGAGCTACCACGTCGGCTGGCGGCGCGCCTCGCCGACTGCTCCGACTCGGCGGCGATCAAGGCGGCGGTCCGCGAGGCGTACGAGGCGTGCGACGCCGCCCTGATCGCAGAGGCAGAGGCGCGCGGATGGGGAGGCGGCTGCGGCGTCGGCACGCGCACCGCCCTCCTCCCGCCACCTCGCCCCGCCCCGGCCGCCCCTCATCCCGGCCGCCCCTTCACCCCGCCGCCGCCGCGCTGTCAGGCCTCCTCCTCGTCGACACGTGATATACACATATGCACTGTCAGGCCTCCTCCTCGTCGACACGTGCCCCACGCCGCCGCGCGCGTACCTCGCCAGCCTGGGCGCCGGGCGCGCCTTTGCCTGCTGCAAGCAGGACGGCCAGGCGGCGCGCGCGGTGCCGCTGGGCAGGCCGCACTCCGCCGCCGACGCGAAGGAGAAGGGGCGGCTCGCAAAGGCGGGCGCCACCGCGAGCGGCGGACTTGTCTGTGGGCTCCCCGTCTCGCGCTCGCTCGGCGACGGCGCGGCCAAGCGGGCCGCGCCGGGCGTGCTGCTCCCCATGCCGGACGTGTCCTCCTTCGACATCAGCGCCGCGCAGCGCTTTGTGCGCCCTCCGCAGCCCCCTGCCGAGATGCGCCGAGATGCGCCGAGATGCCGAGAGGCGCCGAGAGGCGCCGAGAGGCGCCGTTTGCGTGTGGCGGCGGCCCCGCCCCGCCGCTGACCGAGGGCGGCGCGCGCTCTCTCCACAGGTGCTGCTTGGCTCGAGCGGCGCGTGGAAGGGAGGCGCCGCCGCCGGCGAGACCGCCGTGCAGAAGCTCAGCGCGGAGCTCGCGCGGATGGACGCGCGGCGCAACGAGATTGCGGTGATGGCGCACGCTCGCGGGGGCTTTCCCGCCCCGCCGCCTCTCACGCTGGCCGCCCCTCGCCCCACTCGCCACCGCAGGCGATGCTCTCGGACGACTCCCGCCTCGCCCTGCTGGCTGCGGGGAGGGTGAATGCGCTGCAGCGTGAGCGAGACGAGCGCGCATGCGAGGGTGCCGTGCTCGCCGACCTCTCTCGCTCCCTGGCGGGAGGCAAGCAGCTGGCCGACCCGCCGTTTGCCCTCCTCCTCGTGCGGACCCTGCCGCCGGACGACCGCGCCGCGGTGGCGCTGCACGCGGCCTCCACCGCCGCCGCCGCCGCCGCCGCCGCGGCGCTCGCGAGTGCGCAGCCAGCCGGCGCATTGGGTTCTGGTGGCGCAGGGCCAGGGGAGGCGTCAGAGGTGGCGGGGGAGGCGGAGAAGGGGGCTGCGGCGGCGGGGGCGGAGGTGGAGGAGGAGGAGGAGGAGGAGGAGGAGGAGATGGACGAGGAGGAGCGGGCCGCCCTCGCGCAGCGTGAGGAGCAGCGCCGGCAGGAGGCGAAGGAGCGAGGTGCGGCGGCGGAGCAGGCCAATGTGGTGGTCGACTTTTTCTAGCCCCCAGCGCCCGGGTTAATCGCCGCCACTCTCACTGGCAGCATGCTCAAACAATGCCCTTGGCCCAATGCTCGCGGCCTAGAACGCCCGGTCCGCGCCCCGGTCTGTGCGGTCTCCCGCTGTCTTTTTGCTTCTTACATTCTCCGTGTGTGTATAGAAGTCTACCTTACCTTACCTTACCGTAAGGCTTACCTTCGAGAGAACCTAATGTTTTTACACCTTGTGATTTTTGGGTCAAAATCGTCGTGATTTCCAGAAGCCGTTTGCGCCTAAGTCCCCAGCGCGTAGCGGCGGGTGTGCGCGTCCCGGAGCGTCCGAGGCGGGTAGTGCATGTCGGGCTTCGCCGTGTACGACGACAGTGTCAGCAGCGGAGGTGCTGGTGGCACTGGTGGCAGCGGCGGCGACGGCGGCGTGCGCGTGGGTGCCGACAGCGACTTGTTCTTTGACGCCATGGAGGACGAGCCGTGCTGCCGCTGTGGCATGTGGGGCGGCAACGCGGATTCGATGCCATGCGACGACGTACACACGCTGCTGGGGGCTGAGATGCTCACCACGTGCGGCGTCTGTGGGGTGATGCGCCAAGAAGACGCGCCTGAGGCGCTGGCGGGAACGGCGGCAGGTAGCGAGGATGAAGAGGAGGAGGAGGAGGAGGAGGAAGAGGAGGGGGGGGAGAACGAGGACCCGGGCGGGAACATGTCGGACGACGGGTTCGGCGAGGGCGGCGGCGGGGGCGGCGGCGGCAGCGGCGGAAAACGCGACATGAAGCAGATCCGCGCTCACATCGGCGAGTTGTACGAGATGCGCAATCCTGACAAGCGCGAGACGCCGAAGTCGAGGCACAAGGCGGCGCTCACGGTAGCTACGGTCATCTCGGAGCTGCTCGCCAAGCGCCCCCTGCTCGAGGCCGAGATTGTCAACCTCGTCATCCACCAGCGGTCGGCGCCGGTGCGCGCAAAGCTGCGGCTGCTCCACACGATGCAGCAGGAGCAGTACCTCGCTGCGCGCGACGTCGTCCGCTTCCTCGAGACGAAGTGCTTCAACGCGCTGCACTCGCTCGACATACGCGCGAACAAGACGCTCTCCATCTCCATCCTCAACGCGATACGCGCCTTTTCGACGGTCGACGGGAAGCGGATTCTCTTGCCGCACGGCATGCCTCCCGCCTTCGGTAAGGGGCAGGTCAACACACGCAAGTCGAACACCGAGCAGGGCATCGGGCGCAGCCCCCTCCTCGCCCCGTTCGCGGTCAAGTCGTCTGTCGAGATTCGCGAGCAGATGGACGTCACCCTCGGCGGGCGGGAGCTGCACCTCGCGACCGACCACGACGGCGCTGCGTGGGACGTCTGCGTGACTGGCACCGAGGTCTTCCAGCAGGCGTTGAAGGAGGGCAACCTGCTGCCGCGCCCCCCCAACATTCTGCGACGGCTGCAGCTGCTCTTTGACGGCCACGGCTGGACGAAGGCCATCGGCGCCGCCCGCTTCCTCCTCCGCACGCCGGAGCTCCGGCGCGACTTCAACGCGACCAGGTTCGCTCGCGACTACAACTTCATCCTCGGCGCGGACAAGCTCGCCTACCTCGAGCTGGCGATCCGCACGGGCGGCGAGAAGTCCCTCTTCGCGCGGGCGATGGCTGGCTGCAAGGTGGAGGAGGTGCCCGTCGCCTCGCTGCCCGACAACGTGCGCAACTCGGAGGTCCCGCCGTGCTCCGAGGAGACGGGCTCGCTCCACGCCTTCCAGCGCTTGGCGGCCATCAGGTGCGCTCTCGCCCCGTAGATGCCTCAACCTAGTATATCCCGCCCACCCTAGTCCCAGTTCCTAGCACTAGCCGCAGCCGTAGCAGTAGCAGTAGCGTAGTAGTAGCACAGGGCGGCTGAGAGGCGATAGTAGAGGCGAGGAGAGCGAGAGGAGAGCGAGAGCGTGCCGCTGTGTGAACCGACTGTGAACTCACTTTTCTCTCAAGAAATGCAACGCGAGATTAATCTTGCCGACTGCAACCGGGCCGTTTTCTCATAAACAGGCGAGATAGCATAAAGAGAGCTTTAATAACGACTGTGAACTTACCCAGACGACTTCGCTACCCGTACCGCGACTACTCTGGGTACCCTCACCGACTCTGACCGCCCATCCCCCGCTTCGTAGTTGCACCGTGCGGCTCACGCTTCCAGCCGGCCAGGGGCCGGATCAGGACGTGTGCCAGGTCTGCCCCGACGAGCAGGAGGTCGAGCTGACCACCGCGGGCGACCGTGCGGCGGCGCACGCCGCAGGTGCGATCGACACGCCCGTCTGCCGCCACGGCTGTTGCTTCCGCTGCTGCCTGCCAAAGTCGAAGTGGTTCGACGTTGCGGCAATCAACCGGGCGTGGCGGCGCAACTTCGCCTATCAGTGCACCGCCAATCACGTCAACCTGCGGCGCATTCTCGGCGACAAGCTCGAGCCGGGCGAGGACTTTCGGTGCCCGCATTGCAATGTGCTGGTCGACGAGGCCCTCGAAAAGAAGGAGGCGGAGGAGTGGGAGGCGGCGGACGAGGCGGGCCGCGACAAAATTCGGCTGAAGCACAGCAAGTCGCATTCCGGCGCGCTGCGGGGGAAGACGCCGCTGCTGCCGATGGACAACTGCAAACGGGCTTCGAGCGCGCTGCATCGCCGCATGAATGCTTGCGGCAATAACATCGCCGCGACGTTCATGGCGGTGCCGTTCAAGCCGAAGATGCGCGACGCGGCCAACGAGCTGCTCAAGAAGCACAAGGTGGTGTGGCGCTTCCCGACAAAGAAGAAGAAGCGCGCATCTACACCCCTCGGCAATGACGCGCGCAAGTTTCACAGCTGCCCTGGCCTCATCGTCGGGCTCGTCGAGATCTTCTACCCCGATGCAAAGGAGGGGGCGCAGAAGGAGCTGGTGGACTTGCGCCGCGCAGCGGCCGGCGCCACGGACGTGCGCAACGCGCCCGACGAGCAGCAGGCGCGCCCCCTCGACTTAGCGCAAAATCGAGGCTCACAAAAAAGAAAACACTCTAATACTATCTTATAACCGGCCATCACCACACACCCTAGGCGTCCCGCCGCGCCTCGGCAGCCAACAAGCGCAAGGCGCCGACGCGGGGGCCGGTCGATGACGTCGCGATGATCGGCGGAGGGCAGGTGGAGGCGGAGGAGCTGTCGGAATACGCGGCCGGGCGGCGGGCCGAGGCAGCGCAGGCGCGCGCGCCGGCGCCGGCGCGGCGCGCCGCGGCGGATGACGACGTCCTCGACGACGCCAGCGCGCCCGACGACTCCAGTGTCGACGACGCCCTCGACCTCTCTGGCGGCGGCCCCGACGACGAGAATGGCGAGATGCGCGACTACCTCGAGCTGGAGGAGAACGAGGCCACCGGCACCGCGCTGACCGCCATCCGCGTGTGGTTGACGTCGATCAAGCACCAGGCCGACGTGCACGCGCCGATCGGCAAGTACGTGGGAGGCGTCTGGGTCGACGGCCACTTCGACATGGAGCAGCGGCGCGAGTACGGTGAGAAGGGGCAGGCGTCGGGGCTCGCGTGGGCGCAGGCGCTGCAGAAGCACACCGCGAACAGGGCGGCGTGGCAGTACCCGCACGACTCGGCCGCCCACTTCCTCGAGGATGCGCTCGAGCACGGCGCCGCCTCCCGCAACGACGACTCGATCCTCGAGAAGGGGAACCGTCTCGTCAAGCGCATCGGCGACCGCTGCATCTTCCGGTGCTCCCTCCACAGCATCATCCCATGCACCGCTCTGCGCTCACAGCCGATCCGACTGCCCCGTGCCTGCAGGGGCGGCAAGAACCCGACGGCCACGGTCGGCCCCGACGGCGAGAAGATCTACCAGCAGCCCTACTGGGACAAGATCATCTTTGTCGAGGAGTACGACTCGGACGGCAAGCCGACCGGGCAGCTCGTTGAGAAGACGATCCGCGTCCGGGCGATGCTCGGGCACGCGGCGCAGAAGCAGCGGCTGCACGCGTGCGCGCAGCTGCTCGAGTACGAGCTGCGCGGCAACAAGCAGCAGCGCACCGACAAGGTGCAGGCGACGCTCGACCGGCGGGCGGAGGTGCGGGAGGAGGGCCGCGACGCGACGCTGAACGCCGCGGAGAATCTCGAGAGCAAGCTCGCCGTCGTCTCGGTGGAGCAGCCGAGCAGCAGCAGTGCCGCGGAGGCGGAGAGCGCCGGCTCAGCAGCAGCAGCAGCAGCAGCAGCAGCAGCAGGAGGGCCGTCGAGCGGATCCTCGCCGATCATCCTCTCGGAGCCCTACATCGCAAAGATGAAGGTGCCCGACTTGAAGGCCGCGCTATTGGCGCGCGGGGTGGCGTCATCGAAAAAACTTAAGGCCGACTTGGCGGCGGAGCTCAAGGCGCTCGAGCAGCGGCGCGCGGCGCGGACATAGGCGGCAGAAGAAAACGTGCCCGCCGACGCGCGTTGCAGATGGCGTATCGCAGTTTCCGACAGACTGCGTGCAGCGGGCTAGCAGTGCCCCGACAGACTGTAGTACGTTTCCATGTGCAATGGGCTAGCAGTGTCCCGACAGACTGCGTGCAGCGGGCTAGCAGTGTCCCGATAGACTGTAGTACGTTCCATGACCATGTGCAATGGGCTAGCAGTGTCCCGACAGACTGTGTGCAGTGGGCTAGCAGTGTCCCGATAGACTGCGTACGCATGAACACTCTCATATTATTATTATTCCGACGCGCTCTCCTAGACGTAGGGGGCACACTAGAGCGGCTGCAAAAACTGGAGCATGTCCGCCGAGACCTGTCCAGCTGGGAGGTTGCGTGCGTGGTGCGCGAGCGCCTTCTTGTAGCCATGGATCACCTGGGGGGAGTAGAACTCGCCGTCTGCTGCGTTGCCCGGCCGTGCCCACCGAAAGATCCGGTCGGTCGCCAGCGAGAAGAAGTGGCCCGTCACGATGAGCTGCGTGGCCGCCGCCGGCTCGTCCGCGCCGACGCGCTGGGTACGGAAGCGGAACTCGAGCGGCGGCACCAGCAGCATGAGCGTGCCATTCTCCTGCTTCTTGACGACCGAGGAGAGGAAGGGGCGGATCATCTCGTCGACAATGTCCTGCGAGCTGATTTTGAAGCTGTCCTCGATGTGCTTGCCGCCGTGCCCGCCCCGGAGCGCCGTGATCTCGCTCACGTACTTCTTGAGGTGCTCTGCGGGGGTGGGAGGGGGGGGGGGGTGGGCTCGAGCGGGAGGGAGTGGCTTGGGTTGTCGGCTCGCCTGGCGCGTCGGCCTTGATGCGCTGGTGGAGGAAGAAGACGACCCACGGCGGACAAATGGCTAGTTTAAGGAGGAGTCGCGAGTGCGCGACCCCGCGCTGCTTGTCGAGCACGCGGAACATGTGCCGAGCGAGCTCGTTGCGGTAGGACCCAACCAGCTGCGCCGCGACGTCCTCCGTTACGTGAAGCTGATCCTGCATGACAAAGGGAGTGCCGCCGCCGCTCGCCCGACCCCGGCCGGACGGCACAAAGCTCTCGACGAGCGCCGGGTCGATATCGTCCTCGTCCACCCACTGGTAGCGCACGCACGCGAGGCCTTCCGCCATATCCGCCTCGCTCAGGTCCCACTCGGGTCCCCAGTCAACCCAGTACTGCAGAATGCCCTCGCGTATGCGGCTCTTGAGCACCGCGTGCACCTGAAACTGGTCGTCGCCGAGGTGCCCAGCGGCCCCGCCCCAGACCGCCTCCGGGTCCACCTCCATGTTCTCCACCGCGGCGCCGACTCGAGCGACACGGTCGGCAGGAACCGTCTCATCCCACCTCGCCGCCCAGCCGAGGAAGTGGACGCGGTACTCGCCGTCCTCGGTGACGTGCACAATCTTGGCGCCGTACCACTTCCCGAACCTGTCGCGGGCTTGGACCTCATCGCCGGCAGAGAAGCTGCCGATGCCGCGCACACGCGCCGAGTCCACCCACTCGTCGCACCTTGCGTTCCAGCCGTGGTAGTGCACCTTGTAGCTCAGGCCGCTGCTCTCCTCGAGGCTCTGCTTTATTACCGCCTGATACCACACCCCGTTCTGCTCGGCATCCACCTTTGTGCCAGCGGCCAGTGGCATGCCCCCCCGCACGCTCTGGGGACTTAGACGAATCGAGCTACGCAAATCGCGACGATTTTGCTAGGGCACCGTCACAAGGTGTACTCGAATTTGCCATGTGCATGCACATGCACATGTGCATGCGCGTTTGTGCATGTCACATGCACATGCACATGTGCATGTGCATGTGCTCTGGATCCTCTGTGAACAGAGTACAGACATTCCGAACACTCTCTCGGCTGTCGGCTCTCAAGACTCAACAAACAACAATGTGTGAGTGTTGTTTATTATTGCTCTCTGTGCTTGTGCGCACTTCATCCTTCATGCGAACGGGTGGTGGTGGTGGTTGGGGGGGTGGGGTTATCCCAGCCGCCCGCCGAGCCAAGAATTTACTAAACGAGGGAGAATTCGTGCTTTGTGGTGACGACCACGAGTGGCCTGCCCAGCTTTGGACGCCTGGTTTCATGATGGCGGAGATGAGGCCGCCCAGGCGCAAGGCCGCGGGCAACGCAAGTCCCACTAGCAAGGCCGCGGGCGACGCAAGTCCCACTAGCGTGCTCTCCTACCGGCTGGCGCCGGACGTCTCAACAGCGCCGGACAACGCAGGCACCGCTGACGACAACGAGAGCGGTGGTTCACCCTCGGTTCACATGCCGTCAGAGATGATGCACGGGGTGGTGCTCGCAACCCTGATGGTGGTAGGCGTGTACTGCTGGCCGTCTTGACACTGTAAGCCCTACCCCTCCTGTTGGATGCTCGGATGCTCACCGCGTTGCGAGTTTTGTGCGCGTGATATGTGCAGAGTGTTTTCCCCTGTGCGGGTGTCCCGTGTTCAGTGCGTTGAAGCCAAACCTGTGTGCATAGCTCTCTGCATACCCACTCTTCAAAACGAGCAAACATCGACACCGCTGTGCGACTCGTCATATCGCGCCGTCCTATCCCTGGCAGAGGCACTGCTGGTGAAAGCTCACCGCCCGCCCCCTCCAGCAGCCGAGGTAGCACTCCCTCTGCCAGCGGAGGCAGGCCTGTGAGTGTTCGGCGACCTCCACCTCGGAGACGGCGTCGCTGCCGTCCGCCTGCGGCAGCACACGCCTCGAGCCGCCGCGCTCCTCCCCGCTGCTCCCCATACAGCGGTGGTTGCCGACGCAGGTGGGCCCGTCCCAGAGCTCCACCACCAGTGTGCGCCGCGTACCGCCCCGCCAGGCGCCCACCGCGTGCGGCTTATGCGAGAGGAAGACCAGCGCGTCGCCGCGCTCGAACGGCTGCTCGTCCTCGAAGCAGGTGTGCGGCGGGCTTCCCGCAAAGGTGGGCGCGAGCATCCGGCCGCCCTCAAAGTCGGAGGTGTCGCTGAGCAGGATGTCGCACGTGAAGAGCGACCCGAAGTCTGTGTGCGTCGCGCACTCCTTTCTTCCCCGCTCAGAGTACTCGTGGAGCTCGACAGACCGCACCTGCCGCACGCGTGGGGCGGAGAGTGAGCTGCGGCGGCGGCGCAGCTTGCGGCGTGGGAAGGGAGCGACTCGCACGTTGACGCCGTGCACGCCGTCGCCGGGCAGCGGCAGCTGCAGCGCCGCGAGCACGCCCCAGTTGTCTGCGTCAACCCTTGCCACGTGGGCGCAGATCCGCTCGACTAGAGGCTTCAGCGCCACAGGCAAACTGCCGCGCTGCAGGTACATGGTCGACTCCGAGTCGGGCTCCTTGCCGCCGGCGTTCGCGGCCCGAAGCTCCTCGGCCGTCGAGAGGAGGAGGCCGATCTCGGCCGCGCTCGCAAAGCCCTCGGTCCGAATCATCGCCGTGCGCTGCGCCGCGGCGGGCTCGAGGAGCGCGGCGCCTAACAGCGGCTGCCGCGCGCCCGCCGCCACGCGGTCGCGCTTGCCGAGGATGCTGTCGTCGGAGCGGCACATACACAACACAGTGCGGCGAGAGACAGTGATTCTGTCGATAATAAGCGCGGTTCGCGCGCGTTCGTGCTCACTCTGACCCTTCGCCAACTAAAAAACACCGCACCGCTGCCGACTTAGTGTGGGGAGGGTCGGCGAGCACTCACTCACTAGGCGGCGCCGCAGGGCCGGGGCACTGGCCACGGCCTCGCCGACCACTAGAAAAGGCGGCCCACCCACTACGCGCACTATCTTAGTGCGCGGGGTGGCGGGAGGCACTCACCCCTACTGTCTGAATACGTTTTCCACGTATTCCAAATGACCTCCCAGAGGCCTGTATTCCACCCGTATTCCACCCGTATTCCACGTATTCCATGGAATACGCCGTATTCCAAGCTCCAAAAATGGACGTATTCCGTATAAAATTTTCTTCGCTCCGCGAATTCAGACAGTAGGCACTCACCCACTAGCCTGCTCGCCCGCGGCCCACTCACTACGCGCACCAACTTAGTGCGCGGGGTATGGCGGGAGGCACTCACCCACTGTCCGGACACCGCCGGACCACTCCCCTCGCGGCCGGCCGGAGGCACTCACTTCCGCGCACTAAGTTAGTGCGCATAGTGTCCCGGCCTCCGACCACGACTCCCGGGAGCACTTCACCACTTGACCCGCCTCGGCGCACCACTAGCCCTCGTCAAGCTCACAGACTAACTTGCGTCGACTTAGTTCCCGCGCGGGCCTTCTAGGCCCGCGGGTAGTCTCACCCCATCCCCAGGGCCTCCAGGGCTCGCACCTCAACCTCTCACAGACCAGTGCACAGCGCCATAGGACGTATTTTCTTCTCAATAACAAGGCTGTGAATGTGTGTGTGTGCGGTGCTGCCCTTCGAGAGAGTGAGAGAAATCAGTGGCTTTTGTTATTTTTGTTTTGTTACTCTCTCATGTGGCAAGCGCTCCAACGAAGGGCAGGATGACAACGGCCAAAGAAAGAAAGAAAATACGCGGCCGACGCACCTGGAGCACTAGTGCCATCAACCTCACATCCAGGGCCGGGGAGCTGAGGAGCGCACCCAGCGGGCCGGATGATCGGGATCGGGTTACGGGCTAGAGAGCCCTAGCCCCGGGGGTGCGCGTTCGCAGGGAAGGGGCCGTAAAGTAAACACGGGTCCCCGAGGGTTGGCTCTGCGCTCCGGGTTTCCCCTAGCAGCGGAACGCCCCCTCTACTCGGGGCTAGTAGACACCAGACACTAGCACGACAACACACACATTCCTCACTGACGTCACCACTAGGAACCCCCCGCTCCGCGCACGGTCTCCTCATCCCCACTCCGAGGGGGGCCCTCCCTCCCCTCGGTCCTCCCTCCTGTTCGCCTTCCGATGGTCATGCGACGACTGTGGGGCCCGGCCTCCCCTCCTAGCCTTCTTTGGCCGCGGTCCCGTCGCCGTTTCGTCTTCTCTGCCCGATCCCGCTGACTCCACCTCCGGCGACCCCGCTCCTCCCGACCCCCTGGGCGAGGACGGTGGCGTTGGGTCACACCCGCTTCCACCCCCGGGAGGTCGAGCCCGCTCTCCCTGGTCGACGAGTCGCGCCCGCACCCGCGGCCTCTCTATCGTCCTTGGCTCGCCCCCCCCCCTCCGCCGGCTCCTCTTCAGGCTCGGGGAGGCGTGGCCCTCCCTGTCGAAGATCGCGGTGATCCGGCTGCCACTGCGACGGGCCTTCCCCCGGTGAGCTCGTACGTCCCGACTCCACTCGCAGAGGCCGCGTCAGCTCATCTCTCGCCTCCTCCGACAGTTGACCCCAAGCCCCCCCTGGGGCCCTCCGGCCTCAGCCTTCCGGCTCGCCGGCGGGCCCGTTATCGTATTGCGGCAACTCCCCTCCCCCAGCTCCTCCTCCCGGGTACTCCAGCCTCCGGCGGGGCGGTCCTGGATCCCCTAGGTTATTCCGATCGGGTCCATACGGTGGCGGCCCCGCCGGCGGCGGGGGTGGAGGCGGTGACGGATGGGAGCTTTTTTTCTCTCCTTTTCTTCCCCGCTGCCCAGGTGTAGTTTATTTTTGCTTGGGGCGGAACTCATGCTGAAATTCTGGAAAAACCTGGCCGGCCCCTGCCCTGCCCTGCCCCTACCTACCTACCTACCTACCTACCTACCCTACTTATGGGAAACTCAAAAAGAAATCATGGGACGACGGGTGAAGGTGGGGTACTATTAGACCTACTATACCAACTAAGATCTAAGTGATGGTTGGTGGTACTCTCCTGCAACCACAGAGAGATTTTTGTGTGTCAACCACAGTCCTTCCTTTGACATGGCAGGCAGGCCATTCTCAAGCCCTACAAGCACCAGATCACCCATTTGGGGAGGGTTGGCATCGTGATTTGCGCGAAAATTTTCTTTTTATGCTGTGAAAATTCCAGCGTGAAGAGAGGGGGAAACCCGACGGGAGGGCGAGACCTACCCTACCTGCCCCTAAACCTAGAGGGTAGGGGTGCGGAAGACGGCGAGGAGGGGGCGGCGGCGGCGGCGGCGGAAGCGCGCGCGCGGCGCGCGCGGCGGAGGGGCGGAGCAGCGACCGCTGGCGCGGCCGCTGCTCCGTCTGTGCCAGGGACGCGCGCTCTGCGCCGCTGCAGAGCGCGCGCGTCAGGCAAGGGTGGGCAAGCGTGGCGGCGCGGGACGCGCGGCGGCGGCGGCGAGCAGCCGAGTGCTCCGTGCGCGGTGAGGCGGCCGGGCGAGGCGCGGCGGGTGCCGGGGCAAGGGAGCAGCCCACACCCGGCGTCGCTTTTTGAGCGACGCCTGCAGCACGCCTGCGCAGGGGCCGCAGGACGGTCAGTTGTGGGGCGAGGTGGTGCCGGCCGCGGGCCGGGTGCAAGGCGCCGGCCTCGGCGCCGCCTCGGCGCGCCGCACGGGCGCGGCGAGCCTCTGAGCGGGAGCCGAAGGTTAGCCGTGGTGGGAGGTGGTAGGTGGTAGGTGGGGGTGAGTTGACTTTGCCGCAGAGGCCGTCCCTAGCTGTGAACGAAGGGAGAGTATTCTTCTAGTGATCCCTTGAGGCACAAGTCGGTCATCACGCGCGGCCTTCCGCGGCGGCCTTCCGGCTCCCGCTAGCCTGCCAGCGGCCACCCACATCATGCCCTACTTCGCCACCACCGAGCTCGGCACGCTCCTGCAGGACGCGGATGGCTCGGTCGAGTACACCGTCTCTGCGGACGGCACTCTGCTCTTTGCGCTCTCCGACCTTGCGCTCGTGGCGCAGCACGACGAGCACGTGCTCCTCGCGCGTGTCGCGCGCGCCATCGACTCGCAGATCGAGAGCATGCTCGGCGACGCCGTCGTGACCGAGCCGTGGATCCGTGCCGACCGTGAGGTGTGGGAGCTGCAGCGGTGGCAGCCGTTCGTCAAGTGGGGCTCGAGCTTCCCCGGCCACCTCTACCCGGGCGAGCGGCGGTGGGTCCGCCGCGACCGCTCCCGAAGTACGCAGAGCGGCTTCTCCACCCGCGGCTGGAGGCTCGACCCGTCGGTCGTGACGGCCGACGGCTGGGCCTACGCGCTCGTCCCGGGCCGGCTGCGGGCGCGGCAGGAGGTGCTGCGCGCGCACAAGTGGGTGCGGTGGCGGCGGTGGGTCCCCGACGCGCCCTCGACCGCGGCCCGCACCATCACCTCGCCGAGGGGCGACAAGCTCTACTGCGAGGCGCCCGCCTTCGCCGCGGCGCTGCAGCTCTGCCGGCACTGGCGCAGCGAGAGGAGCGCAGAGGCGGGCAGGCTGGCGGCCGCGCCAGCGGCGGAGAGGCTGGAAGCGCGGGCGTCCCCGGTCTTCGCCAGCGAGAGCAGCCCCGGCGTTCCGCTCCTCGCCTCGCGCTCGAGCTCGCCGCCGCCCTCCTCCTCGCTGTGGACGCCCATCTCGTCGGTGCGCCTGCTCGAGCAGGCCGAGGCGGGGGGCGGGTCGGAGGGCGCATCGCCGCCGTGCCCCTCCTCCCCGGGGAGGTGGCGGCGGCTCGGCGAGGACGGCCTGCCGGACAGCCCCGCGCTCGACGCGGCGCTCCTCTCCGCCTGCTGGGGGAGGGGCTCCTCGTACGCAGAGTGGGCGGCCCACTTCGGCCTGCCCGAGGACCTGCCGCCCGAGCTGCAGCGCACGGGGACGCTCCGCTTCGCCGGCGGCGGCGGCGCGCGGCGCACACCCCGCCCGCCCGGCCGCACCGCCGCCCTCGCCCGCCGGCTGCACTCCGCCGTCGGCGAGCTGCAGGCGATGGCCCAGTCGCCGCGCCGGCTGATCCCGCGCCGCGCGTACGACGCGACGGTCGCGATGGCGGCGCCTGTGCCTGCGCTGCTCGTCCGGCACCTCGCCCGCCCCGCCGCCGCTTGCGCCGCCGCCGCGGTCGCCGTCGTCCTGCTGATGGCGCTGGCGGACGCGGCGGGCGACGGCGGCGGCGGCAGGGACAGGGACAGCCTCCCTGCCGGCTGCTCGGGCCTGTCGCTGCTGGCGCAGCGGCGGCTGCTGGCGCACCACCCGACGGCGCCCGTGCTGGGCGTGGACTGCCCGGTCGACAGGCTGGTCGGCTTCTCGTCGCCGCTCCCGTGGCGCGAGCAGGTCGTGTGGGTGCGCGTGGCGCTGCTCCAGTCGGCGGAGGAGGTCGTGTGTCTCCTCGGCTGGTGCCTCGCGCCGGCGGCGAGCTCCGCCCGCACCGTGTCCTCGTTCGTCACGCTCTCCTCCGTCGTGGCCGCCTGCGCCCTGTGCGGAGCCCTCTGGGTGTGGCTCCGCCTCCCGACGCTCCTCGGCGCGCTCTTCTCGCGCGCGGTGACGCGCTTCGGCACCAAGGGCCACCCGATCTGGCTGCGCTCGCTGCACGTGCGGCCGTCGGTGACGCGAGACCCGCCCTCCTGCGCGCGCGGCCCCTCCGGCGCGCGCGGCCCCTCCGGCGCGCGCGGCCCCTCCGGCGCGGGCCGGCGCGAGTGGCGGCTCCACCTGCACGCCCACGCCGAGGGGTTCGGCTTCGCCAACCCGCCCGGCTACCCGCACCGCGCCTTCATCGAGGCCGAGGCGTGCTCGGTGCGCGCTTCGGCGCCGCTGCGCGCGCTCTGGCGCTGCCTCGTGGACGAGAAGGTTCCGCTCCCGACGAGGAAGGACCCGGCCTACCAGGGGTACGGCGTCTTCTCCTTCGACTCGGTCGACGTCTCCGGCCTCACCATCAACTTTGAGATGCAGGGCGGCGAGTTCAACGTCAACGGCTTCACGCGCCTGCTCGCGACGGCCGAGGTGCGCCGCAAGCTGGGCGAGCAGGCGCCGCTGCCAAACGTGCTGAGCGTGCACGTCGGCACGGCGACCGGGCTTCGCACCACCCGCGCCAACCTCCTCACCGGCGAAAAGTCGTGCCGGCCGCAGGTCGTGCTGCGGGTGCGGGGCACGCGGCTGCAGACCAGCCGCACGGCGCAGCGGCGAGCCTCGGGCGGAGGCAGCGGAGGCGGCGGAGGCGGCGGAGGCGGCGGAGGGGGCGGAGGGGGCGGAGGCAGCGGCGGGCTCTGGTCCGAGTACTCGTCGCCCGAGTACCACTGGGGGGAGGACCTGCAGTTGCCGCTGACCGACCCGTCCGCGGTGCTGCACGTCTGCGTGTACGACGGCGGCACCCCGCCGGCCTTGCTAGGACAGTGGATGACGACGCTCAAGTGGCTGGTGCTCGACCCGTACAACAGCGAGCACTCGAGCCTGCACGTGGGGCGCGACGGCGTCGCGTCCGGCTGGTTCGTGCTCTCGGATCAATCTTGGCGCGGCCTCGGCAAGTGCGGCGAGATCCACCTGCGCCTCGCGTGGAGGCACGCGCATGGAGCGGAGCCGCCGCCCTCGCACCGGCAGACGGCGCTCGAGCAGCTGTCGATGAACTCGACCGAGTCGGCGCTGCGGCTTGGCAACCCCGCGGGCGTGCAGGCGATGCTCTCCTCGCTGCCGTACTTGCTGCACGTGCGGCGCATCACGCTGCGCGAGGTCGAGTTCTTCGTCAAGGACCTCTTCATGGGCCACAAGGGGCAGGCCGAGGCCGGCAAGCAGCAGGACCGGATCAACGTCGCGCTGCTCGAGATCAACCGCAAGTTCGAGCCAAAGGACCCGGCCGACCCGGGCCTCACCATCTGGGACTTCCTCGTCCGCTTCTTCGCCAAGCAGGCCTTCCCGCAGGTGCTCGACCTCCGCCGACCCGGCCCGCTCGCCGCCTTCATGCGGCAGGCCGTCGAGGGGATCCACTCGCACCACATGGGCTTCTGGTTCGCGGTGCACACCTCGCACATGAACTTTTGGCAGAACGTCGCCGAGCAGTTCAAAGGAGGCGGCGCGAGCCCGACCTCCACGCCCGCCCCATCCACGCCAGCCGCCCCGGCCGGCGAGGACGGCGCCGCAGCAGAGGCGCCGCCCGCCGAGACGCCGCTCCTCCCGCCGCCCCGGAGCAACCCGTTCCGCAACGCGTGGCACGCCTTCGAGACGCCGCCCCGCACGCCGCTCCGTGCGCGACCCCCCTCCCCCTTTGGAAGCCCGCGCGGCAGCCCGCGCGGGGGCGCCGCGAAGCCGCCCCGGCCGAGCCAAGCCTCGTCGTGGACCGAGGCGATCCCGCTCGACCAGCCCGAGCGGCGCGAGCGGCTGGCCAGCCCCCCAAAGGCAGCAAGCTCTCGCGCCTCGCCATGGTGAGACCCCGTGCCGCGCCTTCGTCCCCACTTGTCTCCGCTTGACACTGTGCATCTCCCATGCCCCTCTTGCCTCTTCCCGTTCGCCCGTGCATCTCTCTTCATGCGTGCCCCTCCGCGCTCCGGGCGCTCCGGCGAGCGCCCGTTACGCCTTGTCAACGAAACGTGTACCGCGCTACCGTGTGCGTCTGTGGTCTGTAGAGACTGTACCGTGCTCCGTGGGTAGTGTTGTCAAGACGATCTGCCGCGAAGTTACCCGGGGGGAAACACCCCCCCCATCCTATGTTTGACATAGGTCCGGCATATCTCAGATAATTGCTTCGTAGAGTCGTCTCAGGCTTCCTCTCGTGGCCTCTTGCGCTCCCCGCCCTCCACTTTTACCACCACTGCTGACTCATCCGGCGGAGGTCGCGTCGGCGGTGCGGGCGGCGTGGTCGAGACCGCGGGAGCCCCGCCAGCCGTCGTCGCCACGGCAGGGGGCTCGGCGGCCGACTCCTCTCCATCCTTCCTGCGAGCCGCTGCGACCGCCTCTCGCAGTAGCCGGTTGGGTATCGTGCGGACAGATGCAGCTGCGGTATTGCACTCGGGGCAGGCGCCGCGCATGCGCAGCGCGTCCTGTAGCGCGCCCTGCGAGAAGGAGGTGCCGCAGCATGTGGTGATGACGGCGTCTTCGAAGAGTCGGCCCGTGAGCGGGCAGATCAGCTTGGAGGCGTACCGGCCGGCGGTCCGCGCCACGGCGCGCGTCTCCTCCTCGAGCGGCGGTGCGGCGGGCGCCCCGGCAAGCGAGGGCCCGCCGGCGGACCCTGGCGGCGGCGAGCCTTCGTCACGCCCGTCGCCGTCGAGCGAAAGCTCGCGCTCCATGATCTTTGACGTGATCGGAGCGCGCCGCTGGGCCGGCACGCGCCTCACGAGCACCGCGACGTTGCGTCCCACGCTCGAGTCGGGCGCGAAGACCTCCGAGGTCTGCGCGTTGGATATCTCGAGGTCTGACTTGGCCCACATATCCTTGTTAATGCCCTGCGTGCGGATGATCTCAGCCTTGAGGTCGAGGACGCGGATCGAAGGGCCGTCGAACTGCACCGTATGCACCGCCGTCTGGCTCTTGAACTTGTACTGCACCGTGCTGCGGGCCATATCGCGGGTGTCGCTATATATGAGGCTCGCAGGATCCGCTCAGGACCTGGCGCGCGAGCGAAACCGAGATCAGCCGGCTGCGGCGCTTTGCCTTTGGCCGCACCTCAAAAAAATGCGTTGCGCATCAACGGGTGTCCCAAGTGCTCGGGTTCGCGGGAGCCTCCGTGGTCAGCGCTGGCAGACTTTTTGCTCATGTGGAGATTTATCCGCGGCCCGCGTACTCGATACACGCTTAGCTGTAAGACTTAAATCGCACACCGCCCCAGTCGAGGAACACTCGCCTGGACACAAACACCAAAGAGCGGCAAAACAACAACCCAAAGAGAACTCAGCGCGCCCATCCCCAGGACCCATGCCGATCATGCCGTCTCCGGCTCGACGGGCTTGATCTCCACGCCAGTGCCGAGCACGCCGTCGTCATGCCCACCGTACTGCGTGAAGCCACCCGTCTTGAGGGCCTTCTTGTGCTGCAGCCGACGGCAGTAGAGCAGCGTCAGAATGGCGGCGAGGCCGAGGAGGAAGGCGCCGAAGATCTCGATCTTGGCTGCGTTGCCCTCCACCGCGGGCGGTGGCGGCGGCGGCGGCGGGTGGAGGCAGGCCGTCGACGACACCTCGCCGACGTCGCAGTACTCCCAGCGAACCCCCGCGTCCGCGTCGGCGACGTAGCACCACGGGTGAGCCTCGCGGTCGGGGTTGCGGCAGTAGTTGTGGCCGCCCAGGCCGGAGACCGGGTAGTGCTGCGCGGTTCTCGTGTGCTGCTGTGGCGACTGGTCCGACCAGAACTGGCAAGCGAGGCCGCTGGTGGTGGTGGCGACGGTGCCACGGTAGTCCGCGCCGTCGGGCGACTCGTAGCACTCGGTGTGCTCGTGGAAGCAGTCGGCAGCATCGAAGCCGCACGCCTCGACATTGCACGCGGCATCGCACTCGCCGTCGCCGATCGACGTCGGAAGGCAGAAGTCGGCACACGGCGTCTCGTCTTTCTTGAGGCAGTCGTGCTTGTCCCACTGGCACGACTCGCGGAAGCAGGCCTCGTCGCAGTAGTGGTCGCCGATCCACTCGGGCTTGCAGTCCGCGGGACAGATATTTACGGGGGCGGCGCCTTCTTCAGACCATGCCTTGCAGTCGCCGCGATCAAAGTAGCACGCCTCCACGTTGCACTCCTCGTCGCACGTCCCGTCGCCGAGGCTGGTCCACGCGCAGCCCTCTGCGCAAACCGTCGGTTGCAGCTCACCGTCCGCGCCCTCGCCGTAGACGATGATGGAGAAGGAGGAGTCCTCGTCGTAGGCGAGGACGGAGAGGTGGAGCGTGCACGCCGCCTCGGGGCCCGCCGCGCCGCAGAAGAGGTACGTGTCGCGCCCGAGCGTCCACTCCTCCACGCCGTACGAGTCGGAAAGGAAGGTGTAGTTTCCGCCGGTGGGGAAGGCGTTGTCGAAGGAGACGTACAGGTCGGGGTCGCCGCTGGTCGGAACGACGACCACGCGGAGCCGCTCCACATCCTTGGGAACCGACACCTCGTAGAACGTGTACGTGTGCTCCTTCACCTCGCCCGTGACGATGGTGTCGAGCTCGATCGCCGTCGAGGTGTCCTCAAACGAGACGGGGGGGAAATAGTCGTAGTAGTCCTCGTCGAATCCGTTCCAATTTTCGCCGTACGAGGCAGTGTACTCGCCGTCGCCCTCGCCAGTGGCGTTGACAGTGCCCTCCGCCACGTGGGTGCGGTCGGCGGTGGAGTGGTTGGAGTGGTGGTGGGCCGAGCATGAGGGCTCGGGCGGCGGGACCGCGCAGTACGCCCAGCGGGTGTCTGGGTCGGTGGTGTAGCACCACGGCCGCGCCTCGCCGTCCGGGTTGCGGCACGAGTTGTGCCCACCGAGCCCCCCGTGCGGGTAGTTGAGGTGGATCCTGTCGTGCCTCTGCGGCATCTGGTCGGACCACGCCTGGCAAGCGAGGCCGTCCTCGGTCTGGTTGATGGCGCCGCGGTAGTCGGAGCCGTCCGCCTGGGTGTAGCAGTCGCCGTACCCGTGGAAGCAGTCCGATTTGTCCCACTCGCACGCGGGGTTGTTGCAGTCCGCGTCGCACTCACCGTCACCAAGGTACGAGGTTGGGCAGTGGAAGGCGCAGGTGTCCTCAGCGTAGTCGTAGTAGGCGTAGGAATACGTGTCCCAGTCGTTGGTGACGTCGCCGCTGGCCGCCTCCTCGCTGCCGCGCGCGGCGGAGATCGCGCAGAGGAGCAGCGCGCGGATAAGCATATACGCGACGCGTGTGGTGTATGCGTGTCCTCGTCTCTTTGCCGCCACGTTCTGACCGTTGTCTTCCTTGCGCGTCGCCGCACGCACGCGGCTTTTAGTTTTTACTGCTTTTCGTTTCAGGAAGCAGGCGTCGGCGGCCGCGCTCTTCACGTAAACGCACAACCCCGGGCCCCGAAATCGCACAGTGATGACAGTGACATGCAACACGGGGTCCGAGGGAAGGCGAGCAAAAACCTTATCGCGCGCGCTAGACGCCGACTCGGAGGCCGCACCGGTCAGGCGCGCAGCCGGAGAGCACACAAAAACACACCACGCGCCAAAAGCGCTCTTCACCGTTTGTCCGGCCCATCACAACCCGACGGACATGCCGTCGCCGCAACACCACCACTCCCTCTTCGCCCTCGGCCTGGGCCTCGCCCTCGGCCTGGCGCTGCCGCACGTGCTTCGCCTTCGGAGGCGGCGCGGCCTCGGCGGCAGCACCGTCAAGGCCGGCCTGACCGACACTCGCGCGGTGCGGCTGCCAAGGCGCGTGCTGACTGACTTCCTCGCCGCGTGCTTCACCGCGGCGGGCGCTGCGCCGGCCCACGCCGCGCAAGCGGCAGACGTGCTGGCCTACGCCGACTCGCGCGGCATCCCGTCGCACGGCGCCAACCGCGCCGACACGTACGCCAACGAGATTGAGGCGAAGCTCGTCGACGGCGTTGCGAGCCCGGTCGTGGAGCGGAGCTCGGGGTGCACAGCTGTGATCGATGGCCGGAATGCGCTCGGCGCTGTCGTGTGCAACCTCGCGATGGAGACGGCCCTGCGGCTGGCAAAGGAGCACGGCGTCGGCGTCGTCGCCGCCCGCAACTCGAACCACTTTGGGGCGGCGGGCTACTGGGCGAACCAGGCGCCTCCCCAGGCCCGGCCTGAGGCCTCCACATCTCGGCTAGATCTCGGCCTCACCTCGGCCATGTCTCAGGCGCTCTCCGCCGGCATGATCGGGCTGTCCTTCACAAACACGGCGCCCTTTGCGGCGGCGACCGGCGGCTGCACCCGTGCCGTCGGCGCGAGCCCCTCCTGCTGCTCTGCTCATGCACGAGCGAATAAACTAGGAATGGACGAGTGCGCATGAGGTAGGCACCAACCCTCTCTGCTGCTTCGCGCCCGCCGCAGGGGGCATCGTCGACACGCTCGGACTGAGGCACGCCCTTCCCTCTGCCACCAGTCTGGTACTCAAGCTGCAGGCGACTCGTTCCAGCTCGACATGGCGACGACGGTGGTGCCGGTGGGCAAGGTGGAGGTGATGCACCGGAGCGGGCACGTAGATGCAGGATGTGGGCGCTCGTGGCGTGTACATGTCGGCGCCAATCTCGCAGGATCGGGCAGCGGATCCCTACTCATGCTAGTGTTGCTGTTAATGGGTAGGATCGGGCAGCGGATCCCTACTCATGCTAGTGTTGCTGTTACTGGGTAGGATCGGGCAGCGGATCCCTACTCATGCTAGTGTTGCTGTTACTGGGTACGATCGGGCAGCGGATCCCTACTCATGCTAGTGTTGCTGTTACTGGGTAGGATCGGGCAGCGGATCCCTACTCATGCTAGTGTTGCTGTTACTGGGTAGGATCGGGCAGCGGATCCCTACTCATGCTAGTGTTGCTGTTACTGGGTAGGATCGGGCAGCGGATCCCGGCCGGCTGGGCCGTCGACCGGAGCGGGAGAGACACCACCGACCCGGCGGAGGAGCGAGATCACGCGAGATCACGCGAGATTGCGCGAGGTCAGACGACACGCGGTGTGCTTCCCGCTTCACCGTCCTGCCCCCCTCCCCTCCGACCAACGACTAGCCCTTCCGACTCCTCCGTCCTGACTCCTCCCTCTGGCTCCCCCCCCTCGCCCCCTCATCCCTCACCCCTCCAGGTGGTGCAGCACGGCGCGCTCCACCCGCTCGGAGGCGGAGAGGAGACGGCGGGCTACAAGGGGTACGGCCTCGGCATGCTCGTCGAGCTGCTCAGCGCGGTGCTGCCGGGCTGCGCCGACGTCGCAGCCTGCCGTGCGGCCGAGGACATTTCCAGGACACGTCCGCGGCACGCGTCCCCGGCGTGTCCTGTAGGTCGGCCCCGCAGTACAGCCGTGGACACTCTCCCGCGAGCGGCCGAACGGGTACGGCCACTGCTTCGTCGTCCTCGACCCGAAGCGCTTCACACCTGGCTTTGGGGGACAGCTGCGCGAGTACCTGGCGGCGATGCGCTGCCTGCCCGGCGCCGTGCGCTGCCCTGGCGACCCCGAGAAGGCGTGCGAGGAGGAGGCGCGAGCGCGAGGCGTGGTGCTGCACGAAGGCACCGCCACGGCACTCAAGGCGCTGGCCGGACGCTACGGCGTCGAGACGCCGCCCGAGTTCGCCGCGCTCGACGCGTCGCGGAGCAAGCCGTCGCTGTACGCCCAGGCTTGAGGAAGTTGACTTCTCTCGCCTGCATGTAGGAATCCTAGTCGTTTACCCAAACAGTGTGTGGAGAAGTTTACCTTGCCTATAGGTTGCCTTGCGGGTTACCTTCTTTTTGAGACCGATTGAGAGAGAGAGGAACAGAGAATCCCAAAAATATTTTCTGACGGTCATATTTGGCAAATTTTCTGTGCATTCTCGTGGAGAGAGAAGATCGTGAAGAGATCCCTCAGCGCCTCACTCACTCTCACACCGCGCACACACGAAGCGACACAAGATCGTGCCACTATGTCAAAACTACAGGGGTAGGCAATGAAACGGAGCTTTGCGCCCTTTCCCACCCGCCGGGGGGGCACCCAGGCCGGCCACCTGATCGGTAGTGGTGGACGGGAGGCGCGAACAGCGCCATCTTGGGGTCTACACGCCGACCAGTGCTCCCGTCAGTGACCAGGAAGAGGGGCTGCGTGGCCTTCTCAGCCGCCGGCCGCGCGTCCGTGTGGTCTACAGTTAACGAACCACGAGCCCTGCTTCCGTTTTAACACAAATTGGGTGGCGAACTCGGCGCCCATAGCTCTGGCTCGAGTTTTAGCGATTATGTCGCGAAACGCATTAGCCGCTACATCGAAATTGCCGAGGTAGCCGAAATCACAGCTTCCGCTGTAGCGGCTAATGCGTTCCCCGAGGTCATGATCGTGGGCGGAAAACGAACCGGCACCCCGGCGGGGCACCTTACGGGCTGTGTTAAAACGAGAGCTAAGGTCCCGATTTCACAGTGGGCCGCAGGAAAAGACACGCGATGAACCCGCACCCATCGAGCTAGCTTCGAGGCGCCTTCAAAGCAGGTCGCAATGGCGCCGAAGAAGAAGCCTGCACACGGCCGCAAGGCCAAGGGCGTCATGCAAGGCGCTCATCGTCCTCCAAAGGAGGTCTCTGGTGCAGCCGGCTCGCGCGGTCCGTCTGAGCCCTCGTCACGATCGGAAGCACCACAATACGAGGCTGTCGGCGGCGAGTGGGTGGTGTGCCAAAAGCAGACGCGCAGTCAGCGAGCTGAAGCCGCTCAAAAGGCCTCTCGCGCGTCTACCGTCCAAAAGGCGCGGCTGCCCGCCGCAGCCGCCGCCTCCAAGGCTGGGCAGACCGCCTCCGCTTGCGTTCGCCAACCCGGCTACGGCAAAGGTCGGTCACCCGCGACCGCCACAGGCGCCAGGACGGCGCAGCGGCCTCGCCTTGAGGACTCGCAGCTGACTAGCGCCGCTGGCGTCGCGACGGGTAGCCTCAGCGTGCAGCTGGCGGAGGCTGCGGCCGCAGACGCACTCGAGGCCCTCGAGACCGGTGTGCAGACTAGGCAATCTGCGTTGGCGAGGTCGCAGCTGCTGCGAGCGCAGCGGGCGGAGATTGAGACTGCGCTCGCCAATCTGCGCGAGCTCTGGCAGGAGAAGGAGCGCGACATGCTGCGCCTGCTCTCCAACCCGCAGGCTGCGTGGGGCACAGATGCCGTCTGGCAGCTGTCCATGGCCGAGTTTGCCTTGGAGACCATGGACGAGAACGCCGTCGCACTCAAGCCTCGCCGGCTAGGAATGTGCTTTCGCGCGCTTGCCGAGCAGGCGCGGCACCCCGACGAGATCCCGCGCCTCCGCGGGCTGTACGAGCTGCACGCCCTCCACGCGGTGCTGCAGCGCAGCCCCAGCCTCCAGCGCGAGCTGCGGGTCCAGCTCGAGCGCTTTAAGCGACAATACTGCTCGTTGCTGCGCGGCGCCGGACGCTTTCGCACGCTCGAGGTCCTGCCCGGCGAGACGATCCTCGAGCTTATGCGGCGCACTCACGTGGCCATGCTCTCGTGGCGGCCTCCCGGCAGACCCGGCGCGGCGGCGTCGACCCTGGCGCTGCCCGCGAGCCGAGCGGGGGGTATCTACCTCCCAGAATGGCGAGAGGAGACGAACGTGCTCTACCATTCGGCGGCGGGTAAGACCCTCTCGCTGCGTGGCGCGCAGGGCGTCGCCACGGCCTGCTCGAAGCGGTACCTGAAGTCGCTCCCGGAGGCGGAGCGGCCGCAGCACGAGAGCCACGAGACGGTCCGCTTGCACGACATGCAGTTCTGGTTCGTGCAGCGCCAGAGAGCTGTGGAGAACTCCTTCTCGAAGCGGCGAAACGTGCTGCAGTGGGACGAGGTGACGATCAACAAGGTGGCCTGGGTCGTCGTCACGCTGTCGTGCGAGAGGCTGCCGGCGCTGCGTGAGCGCGAGGTGATCGCCACCTTTAAGCTCCGGCCAGACGCCGATGGCCACAAGAAGACGGGCGTGAACGTCGGCGCGAGCAACGTGCGCGCGGTCAACGAGCTCGGCCTGCCGATCGATCGGATCGACTTCTGCGTCTCCGACGGCACCGCCTCCAATGCCAGCTTGACCATTGCGTCGGAGCGGCACAAGGGCGGCGCCTTTGCGCACATCTGGACCTCGATGCGTGCGACAAAGCACGTGCTGTGCTTTTTTATCCTCTGCTTGTCCCACGTGATCAACAACGAGGTGAAGAATGTCTGCGAGGCGGCTGGTGCCTGCCGCCGCGAGCACCTGCTCGCGCACTCGGGCTCCACCAAAAGCGGACGGCATCGCATCCCGGAGGCGCGCCACGCCCGACGTAAGAGGCGCTCACACACCCCTCCACCGCTTCCCCACGCTCCCTCTGACGCAGCTGCTGGCCGACGTCGTGCTCGCCGTCAAGGAGTCGAAGGGCTGCAAAAACTATGTCCGCGTCTCGGAGGGGCTGGCGCGTCTCGGCGACATGCCGGGAGGCGTGGACACCCGGTGGCTCTACTGGGTGTACACGTGCATGTGGCTGGCGCCCACGACGCGGCGCCTCGAGCTGATCGTGTGCTGTCTCTTGCACGAGTGGCTCTGCGCGCAGGGCGACGAGGGGCTCTTTGCCGACGCCGAGCAGACCGACGAGTTCGGTGAGAAGCTGGCGCTGTCTGGCGCCACGCTGCTCGAGAAGGTGAGCTCGATCAAGGACGCCGCGCGGCGCGAGCTGCTGCTTGAGCTCCTCGACCCGGAGATACGCGTGTGGCTCTCGTTCCTGGCCATCTACGGCGAGCGGTCGGCCGACCGCTTCCTCAAGTTTACCGAGAACGACGGGCCGGGCGTGGCGTTCAAGGCACCCCGCGTGCTTCGCCTGCGGCTCGCCTACCTCGACGCGCTCGCCAGCGACAACGACGAGACGCGCGACCTCGAAGGCGGCCGTCCATGGAAGGGCGACTTTGCGCCGCTGCGAGCAATGGTCGCCAAGAACACGGCGGCGTTCTCGCGCCTGGATGTGCGGGCCATCGTGCGCAAGGCCGCACGCGCTGCTTCTACCTACTTCCGACAGCACACGGCAGCGTGGCGGACGAACCCCGCGCTCGTGGCGCTGGGAACTATGGACGAGGAGGGAGAGCATGCTGTTCTCTCGGCGCAGGAGCTGCTGGCGCTCGCGAAGCAGGGCCGGGGAGGCTTAATCCAGAGCATGCTGCCGCACCTCCCCGACTCGGCCGATGCCACCGAGCTCAGCGCTGCAATCACCAACGCCACCGAGGGGGTCGGCCTCTGGTTTCAGGACGACGCCCTCGGCGTCTTTAAGCTGCTGGCAAGCTGTAAGCGGCCGACGCAGCTGCGCGACGTGGCGGGCGGTAGCGACGTCTACGATTCCATCTGGAGCGTCGGCGTCTTTGTGCCGATCAGCAACTTCTTCTCGGAGACGGTCGTCAAGACGCTCTCTCGCGATTTGCACGGGACGCAGCGCCGGTCGGAGATGTGCGCGACAAGGCTCACGGCACCGCGGCACCGCGGGCACGTTTACCCGACAACGGCAGCCGATTGGAGCGCCGCGTCGGCCGCTCTCGGACACAACGTGTCCAAGCGAGTCACCGAGAAGGAGGGCCTCGCCGCGCAGCTGCAGGATCTCCGGCTCGATAGCATGGAGCTCTCGGCGTTCGTGGACGAGCCGCAGGAGGAGGAGGAGGAGGGCGGGGCGGAGGAGGAGGGGGAGGAGGGCTCGGGCGAGGCCGGAGGCTCGACCGACGCGGCCGACGGCGGGACGGCGAGCTCGGCGGAGGGCGAGGGTCGCCAGCCGGGCTGGCCGTTGGAGAAGGGCGTGAGCACAGCGGCGATCCGGAGGTCGCTGCAGGTGGGGAACGTCGTGGAGGTCCTCTGGGCCGTCCGGCAGGATGGAGACCCAGAGGTGTACCTCGCTCGCGTCGAGGAGGTCATGAGAATCAAGATAAAGATTCGCTGGCTGCACGAGGATACCGAGGAGGAGAACGTGTACGTGGAGTGCCCGTTCTTCACCAAGGTGGAGACATGGTCGATGAAACAGCTGTGGAACCCTGTCTCTGATGTGAGCCAGATTGGCTCGGCAGAGGCGCCTCGCTGGCGCCGCAGCGCGATAGCTGAGGACGCCGAGGCGGCTAGAGCCGCTGCCAACCGCGCCGAGGGTGGGGGGGTGTCGTGGGACACGATCATATCAGACATGGAAGCCCGCAGGAAGGGAGAAGAGACGGGAGGGGAGGACGAGGTCGAGGACGAGGCGCTGTTTGCCGGCAGACCCGGCTCCGACGACGAGGAGGTGGAGGTCGAGCTGGTGGAGCCAGAGCTACAGGGACCGCCCCACTTGCGCGTCGGCGAGGCTGGCTACATCTCATCTTACCACCGGCAGTGGTTCAGCGACTCGAACCTCGCCAACGCACACTACGTAGACGAGCGTCCAGACGGCGAGAGTGGCGCCGACTCGCCGCTGCGGTACAACTACCCCCGCGACGTAGCCTCGGCATGCAGCATCTTCCGTCAAAGAGGAGGGCAGCGGGTGCTGCAACTCTGCGACTGCGTGATGTTGCAGCAGGTCTGCGACGGCGCCCATTGGCACAACGTCGCGCTCATCGGGCCTCAGCGGCTCGCCGTGCACTGGGAGCCGTTCGGCACCAGCATTTTCAGCCGCACGCATCCTCTAGCGCGCGTTCGGGACGCCTTCGACGCGGCGCCAAAGGACACGGGCTGGCAGCTAGTCAGCGTGACGCTCAACTTGCAGAGCGACGGCTACCAGTGCGGGCCGTGGGCGCATTGGTTCCGCCGCCGCCTCTTCGCCTACTGCGCGG